CAACAAAAGGAAAACAACTTTGAAAGACTTCAGAATTCTGATCAACTAAGTGAACAATTTTAGAAGAGACCTCTTTCCTCTTGTGGGAGGGACAATGGACTACAGGTGCAAAATGAGACACACATTTTCAGATATGGCCAATCTGTTGATTTATTTGATGGCTTATTTCTTATGGGAGAGGGGGGAAGTTGTTATGAATGGGGGGGCTGAAGTATGGGTAGTGTTAAAGATGCAAAAGAGAGCATCTATAAAACACTTTTTGAAATGCAAAAAAGATTCAGGAGGCACAAAAGGGTGATTTTTTTTTACTACCATGTAAAATTTTAATAGACCAAACTATACATAATTGAAATTCATAGTGTCATATATGATTCACTCTTTTGGTCTTTGTATACTGAAAAGTTTGTGTATGTTAATGTCAAGTTCATGAAAAAAAAATTTAAAAGGAAAATTCATTGAAGGTTGATGGTGGAGGAACGGCCTAGAGATAGTATTGAGGACAAGATGTACTGTTTGTCAACTGGTGTTTTTGGCCTCTGAGAATTGAGGTGACTTGGGAGTGGGCCTCTAGGAGGGGATTATAAGGAATGTACTCTACTAACATGGCCTAGGACAGTATTTATTAAATGCCTACTGTGTAACAGTCACTGTGTTGGAAATACAAAGAAATGCAAAAACAAAACAATCAGTCCCTGTTCTCAAGGAGTTCACCTTCTAATGGAGTATCTATTGATTAAGAAAAATAGAATGAGTATTATTAAAGTCATTTTAAATATAATTAAAATAAAGGGCCCTGATGAATCTAATGTTAATTTTTACAAAGCACTCTAAGGAAATAATAATGATAGTTGGCATTTATATAACACCTCCTATGCATTAGTTATTGTTTAGTGTTTACAAATATTCATTTGTTCCTCAGGACTACCATGGGAGGGAGGTGCTATTATTATCCTCATTTTACATTTGAGGAAACAGAGGCAGACAGAGGTTAAGTGACTTGCCCAGGATCACCCAGCTAGTAAGTATCTGCGGACAGATTTGAACTTAGATTTGCAAGCACCTTCCTTGCAATAACCCTGTAAGGTAGGAGGCATGGATTTTCCTTCTGATTGGGTTTCAGTCTATCATTCAATAGATGAGAAACCAGCAATTCCAATAACTTATTCATGATCAGGACAAGTAACATGCTCATGATCACATAGCTAGTAGATATCTAGGTTGGGAATTAAAACTATATCTCACCTCTCTAAGACCAATGTTCTATCCACTCTTCTATCGCATTAATCACAACTGCATTTACATACATTTGAAAAATACATCCTCCACCTACACTATTCATTCAATCATAAGGTCTATTTGCTTATTTGTGGATCCATGAATCCCTTGCAAAAACTCCTTATCTCCAGGGCTCTGTGTCTTGGGAATAGAGCTCTCTGTGGGAGACAGGACACCTGAGTTTGGTTTTTTAATTGACTCTGGCATCGGCTTGTGTCCCCTGAGAGATTAGTCCCTTCAACCCTCAGATTCTGTTTTGGCTTCTGCAACACAAAGATATTTCTTTTTTGTTAATACGCTGGTGGGTGTTTTGAGCCTTCCTGATATCTTTTTAAAGCACACTGAATTCATTAGAAGCCAAAAATTGGGGTGCCAAATGCCACTCTGGTTGGACCTGTATTCTTCATAGTCCCCACGGGCTTCAATTTTCACCTGAACAATAGTGTCCCATTGGGTGGAAACGGGAGGGAAAGAGCTGTCATTTACTTGCTTCCTGAGATATCACATGGAGAAAATTTTTAGCCCCCCAGCTGAAAATTATCTCTCCCACCTTATAAAATATATATGTATACATACATACATACTATATATCTATATATATCTATATATATATCTTATAGCACTTTGTCTAAACCTCTTAGTTCTTGTCACATCCTACCTCATACCATACTTATCTGTGTGGATATCTTGTAATACAACATTAATCTCCTTCTCACTGTCACGAATGCAAAACAGTCCCCTAACATTTAAGAATAAACCATAAGATTTAAAGGACAAAATTCAGCTCACACACAGTGGACAGCATTGGTAATAACTTATCAGAGAGCTCTTACAAAGTTTGAGTGGGTCTGTACCCCAGTACCAACCACTTTTCAAAGTTCTGTTCATGTTCACCTGTTTGGGGAGACTGAGCTTGGGGGTGGGATGGAGCTTAAATTTGTTGGTACCTGTCTCTTTCTAAAAGGAATTTTTTTTTTAAAGGGGAAAGGGCAATACCTGTTGTGAGAAGTGAAAAAAACCAGAACAGGAAAAACATGTATTTCTATCTGCTAAAAGCTCCTTTCTAGTTTGGAGAACCTTTGGCTTGCATGCTGGATTCTGGGAATATGGCATCAGAAACAGGAAAACTGTAGACCATTGTCCTTATCCAAACAGAATATTTGCCAGCAGCTAAAATATGAATGGTAACCACCTCACCACCTGGGTAAATGGTGAATGATGTAGGAGCCAATGTAGTCTTGGCACTTAAGCCACTTTGTATTACAATGAGGGTGCATCCTCCCAGGTCTCCTCAGGTACAGCTGTCTTTCTCAAGTTAGGGGGTTGGGCAGCTGCTCCATCCACTTCAGACTGAGAAAGGTCATCAGGCAGTTCCTGGTTGCCCTCTAATCCTAACTCCAAGCCAGCCTGGTATTCTTCTCTTGTGTCCTTGAAGTACTCATTGACGCCAACTCTTACAGGAAGTAGGGGTGTAGTGTAAAGATAACTTGCCAGCCAACTTTCCTTCAGTTTCACCCACAGTGTTGGGGATAGAAGCCATAGCAGGCTCTTGTTCTGGAAATAATCATGTTTTCCCTAGCAAATGGCTTAACGCTATACCCTTCAGGCTTCCAAAGCTTTCCTCTCCCTCTGACGGCTCCTTGCTTTTTTTTTTTTCTCAAACTCCAGTAGATTTTGGGGATAAACATACTGACAACTGAGAGACACTATACTAAGCCACCTAATATATTATTAGCTATGTCAGTATATTTTTCCTGTGTTTGCAATAGTTCAATAGTTCAAATTAGAACATTTCTGGTTCTGCTGCACATGGTGCATTATCATTTACAAAGACAATGGACTTCTGGAGGAGGCCATCACTTTCAAGGCCTCTTTATTTTGGATTTGTGGTTCACTGATTTACTTAACTCTAGGCACTTAGGATTTTCACTCAGAGGGAAACTTTAAATAGATGAGATTCTGTGAGCAAGTGCCTGACACAGACATGCACTAATGGTTCAACATTAGTTTGTTGGGTCAAAAATAAAACTTACCATGAGAAAGTGAGTTTTGGGAAGGCCAGGGATGAGCTGGAGGAATCATAGCCTTGACTGGTTAATGTCGAAGGAGTAGAACATAGTGGACAGTGTTGGACTTGGGAGTCAGAAAAACCATTGTCTGACCCTGGGCAAATCAATTAACCTGAGTTTCAGTTGACTCATCTGTAAAATGGAAATTATGGCACATAGAAACAACCTCACAGTTGTGAGGATATAATGAGCTAATGTGCATATGCTTTGCCGACCTTAAAGTGTAAGAGAAATGTGGAAATATAACAGCAGTGAGAAAAATGCTAGATTGGAGGAGAGTATCTCTTGGAATCCCAGTTCTTCACTTTACTATCTGGGTACAACAAGGTGTCTGAACTTGTTTTCTCATTAGTAAAATGAGGAAGGTAGACAGTCACTTCTGAGGTCCTTTCCAGGACTAAATCTATGATTCTATTATTGGTTTATACTTTGGAGAAAGAATTTTCATCATGAAAGAAGTTAAAAGGCACAATGACTTGAGACCTCGAACTGTTGTAAATGACAATTTATTAGCAGAAAATTGCAATGGAGCCTCAATCTTCTACTAACAACCATTAGCATAAGAGAGACAAGGATGGATATCAATTTAAATACAGATAGAAGCTGAAATTCTTCTTCCTTATATAAACACCATGTGACCATTTGTTTTTATATAAACATTGAAGTTTGTTATTTCCCTTGAGAATTAAAATTACACTAGACTGAGCCTTTAGAAAGATAAAACAATACCATCCCCCATATATGATGAGATTCAATGTAAAAGGAAAATTCGCTATTTGTCTCACAGCATTTTACGACCTAGTCAAAAAATACCCGTAAGGAAAGCCACCTCGACATGAGCTGTTTTTCAGCCAAGGCTAGAGAACAGCCAATGTCAACACTTTGGAATGTTGCTAAAGAATTGAACTAGTTCCAGTGGCAATGGTGATACAACAGATTCCAGTGGCAATGGTGATATAACACATACATACACACACACACACAGGCCCAGCAGGGAAATACCCCAATTTTAAAGTCCTTTAAAAAAAAAGCCACAATTGTAAAGAGTCAGAATTAGGGTTAGCCACTCTGGTGTAAACTTATTCCAAATAGTCATTTTTTTTTAAAAAAGATTCATCCACTATAACTTATTAAGTGTTCATAATCTCATCCCCATCCCATTAGGAAGACATACATGCATCCCTGTAACACCCATCTCCAGGGAGCATACAAACATTATGGTGGAGTGGTTGCCTAGTCAAAAATGTAGAATGTGCTTTTTTTTTTAAAGAAATTATTACAGTGATAGACAATAATCCCCATTTAAAATAAAAATTACATAAAAACTATAAAATGTAGGGCTTTAATATATCTAATATTACCAAAAAGCATTTACTGAATGTCCATTGTATGCAAGGGATAGAATCAGAACAATCTGAAGGCTGTGGCTAATTCACTTTAAATGGGATTTCAGCAAAAACCTAGAAACAACCTTTGTGACCAGCAACTGGAGTGTGGCTGAATACATTTATTTCTATTTAATGATACTACTGTCCCATTAAAAAACCATGCCTGAAGAGCACACACACAAAAAAAAATGAAGACACACAAAGTGGGAAAAGTAGAAATAGAAGTACATTCACATGAACTCTGGCTGAATTAAAAAAAAAAAAAACAAAACCAAGGGCAACAAACCTTTTTAAGTTTACATACAGAAAAGAAATCTCAGGTCAGATTAAAGTATTATTTTGTTTAAATTTGTATGAAGTATTTTTAAAATTTTCAACCAAAGTGTTTGGATTTCATGATTTTATTCTTTCTGCTCCTAGTTTATATTGTTGAGAGTCCTAAGTTTGTAATGAAGTTATTTTAGAAAAAAAGAAAGGATACAAGGAATTATCAAAATCTCAGCACCAGCTCTCTATTTATTCCCCAGAGATTTCTGTGCATGAATTAGGTACTTATTTTTGATTTTTAAAATATTCTTTCATTGGACAGACATTTGAAAAGTTGATTAAATGATTCAGAAAAAAAATCTGAAAATGATTCATAAAAATGTTCATAAAAAACTAAGTTATGAATGGAAAGTGAGGTATTGCTTTTGAAAGCGTGCAACTCAAGTAAGTGTTTGGCAGCATTAATGTTGCCCCATTTCAAAAATGATAATATAACCAGCCCATTTAAAAAGCTGGTGATTCCCTCCATTTGGAAAAGTTGAAGCATGACCACATGTAGCTTTTTTGGTCCGCTTCACCAAAATAGGTAGGGAGATGACCATCATTCTCACATAATTTTTTTTTCCAAAGGTATTTTAAAATGAAAAAAAAATAATTACTAGGATTATCTTAAGATGCTACTTGATTTTGGCCCTTTTACTTTCTGTGACTAAAGATGTCATCCCAAAATGAATATATACTTTTTCAGCCCATAACTAATATATTTTCTTTTTCAGAAAATAAGTATAGCCGCTGCATACATTTGGGGGACACTATGTAGTTGACATGGAAGTATTAACTGAACATGATGACGATCATTTTATGAAATTGGATATTCAAGTTACACAGTTTAAAGCAGACCCCTTTAAACCTGAACTTGCTGGTGATGTTTCAATGGGACACAGTGGGGAAAAAAGTACACAAGAACAATGCAACAATTCCAAAGGATTTCACCATTACATCAAGAGTATGCATTCCCCTCAAAGTTTACATAGTGACTTTAAAAAGAAAACACACATCTGCCAGAGATCCATGTGTACATAAGCAAATCCAAGGCTTACACCAAGTAAACTGAAGACAGTAGAATCTCTCTGTGCTTCTAGCAAACTGAAGTTTATCTGGTACTGAAAGTTTAATAACACTCATTTTCATGTATTAAGCACCTTATTATATGTTTACTAGAGTAGGAATGGCTACCCTATGTATAATGGTTAGTTAGGTAGGATGCCTGCCCACTGGGCCCAGCAGCTACTTATTTAGGAGAAAGCAGGAAAGGTTAGTGATCTTAGTAATAGAAAATGTTTGCTTTAAGAGGCAAGGCAGATTACTGCACTTACCAACATGTCTACATAGCTCCTGAGGCTAGAAATGTGACTTCAAAAAAGGTGGTGTCTAATTGTGACCCCAACACCAACTTGAACTACACGAATAGGTATAAAATACTAGTGACTCTAGACATCACCAGCCTAAAAGCTAGTTTTTAAAAATTCATTGCCTGAAAATTCTTTAGTAGTCTTTCCTATAGTTAATGGATGTGTTAAAGTGAGTGTCAGTAGCCTAAAGAACTGTTAACTAGAACTGTGGGACATAGTTTCCATATTGATTAAAATACATATTTGCTTGTACCCTGACTTCTTTTATGCCCATACCCTTTCAGGATGATGCTCTGGAGATGAATTACTGTGCTCTGTCTGCAAGACTGGGCTGGACTGAATAATGCATGATTATTTCATATAGCCTTATATGCCTTTGGTCTGCGAGTCTGAGGTGATTTACCTAGGCTTTTATAATCCAAACTTAAAACTGATGTAAATCAAGTACAACCATCCTAAGACAAGAATGACTGAATTTCTAATGCCACATCCAGATGGAATTTTGAGCAGTTCTCAGCTTAAAACCCACAAGCATTTAACAGTGTATAGGCAACTCTGAATACAGACTAAACTCTACCTACTAGCATTCTATTTCTCAATATGAAACAAGGAAAGCTAACAGTGAGAGATTCTATATTCTCCACTTAAAAAAAAGCATCTGAGAAAGAAAGCCTCCAGACCAAGGCAAAAGCTCCAGAAGGGTTGCAATGAAATTATGTATATCCAATATATTCAACAGGGTCAATGTGGTAGAAAAGATCCATGGAACCTGGGTCTTTGGCATTTGGCTGAGGGGAGGGAGGAGCAAACAAGAAGAGATTCCTCAAGTATTATGTGTCTTCATTTCAGTCATTACGGACAACAATGGATTTAAAAGAATAAAGTAGAAATTCTCATCTCTTACTACGCTGTGGAAAAGAAAACTTCCAGCCAAGTCAGTTGGCTAAATAAATCTCCAATGCTGCTAGGACACAAAGCTGTAGTTTCAATTTCTATCACCAATTAGAACTTAGCTTAGTTCCGTCTTGTTCATTTTTTAAAAGTCTGCTTAAAGCTTTAATGAAATTAATTTACCAAATAATTTATTTCCTATGGAAACTTTTTTCCTGGATAAAACAACCTACAAGAAAGTAATATTGAATCTGAAAACCTACCAGAGAGGAAAAGCAAAAGAGAAACCTTTTAAGCCATCATTCACATGTAACTACCTCCTTAAACTGCAAGCTAAACTTAATGGTGACAGCAAACACCATTTAGGTGCTCCATTGTGCAATGGCAATCAATTAGCCCTTTCTAATTGATGTTCCAAAGAAATTTCACTTAGAACTTTTACCACTTTAGCATAAATTTTTGCACTCTGCCCCTGTGGGGTCTAAGACAAAGCTGGGCACACAAATACATATTCACCCCATAAATGCTGGCTGGCTGAGTTGATAAAATATTCTGCTGGAAGACTCAATACTACAAAATAACTCAAGTCCAGCTCCACATAGATGCATATGAAAAATACATATTGAACAAGTTCACACTACTTTCGTGTATACTGAACATTTTAGTATGTATGAATCTTGCTCAGAAAAGAGCTTAGTTTTTTTTTTTAAGTCCGTCTTGAAAGTTCGTCTGGATAATTGGTGTAATGTTTCACGTGTGTATGCTTTGTTCCCTTCACTATCTCCTCTTTCTTCCCCATCTCTGTATTTGCCTGAATATATTATCCCCAATCAAAGAGCAGAGATTAGCTGAAAACTGGGCAGATAGAAGGGCAAGCCTAGAAAAGTCATGTGCTACTATGGAAAGAAAGTGGACAGAACTGGAGGTAAGATGAGCGAGTCTGATGGCCCCAGGCAGCAGGTGGCCCCTCAGAATATCAGCCAGTGGATGTTCCCTCCTCCCTCCTGGAAAACACAGAAAAGGGACCAGACTATCCTATCATTTATTATTCATGTGTGGGCCAAGACTAAAGCTGATCATTTTCTCTCTCAAAATGGAATTTTCTAGAAATTCTTCAGCAAATAAAAATGGGAAGGAGAGCAGTTAGAAATGGAACTTAAACTCCACGTAGTGTTTGCTGTTAAGATTGTTCTAGCAATCTTAATGGCAGGGAACGTTTCTTTTTTCAATATATTGTTTTTTCACTTCAAAGCCATGAGATTTTCAACATCACTTATAAATAAGGAACAATAAAGAACAGGATAAGTAATTCTAAAGTGCTCATTAGAATTTACCACACTAAATTATCTTATTGTTAAAATGATCCTCCAATTTGGGGAATATTTTAGATTGAGTGTCCTTTTCAAAAGATAATGTCAATGAACAAGAATGCTATTATGAAATAATATTTTCTTCCTGCTGCCATCATAATTCAGTGATAATTCATTCAAGTCAATCTGACTTGTATTTAATTTAATCAAAGGATTTGGGGATAATTAATGACCATTTTAGAAACTAACTTTCAAAATGGAGATCATGGTCTATCAGAAATTACCTTATTTTCTAAGAATCAATTAAAATGGATTAGATACTATTGATTAGTAAACCCCAGACATGAAACTGACCTTTAGGGAGTTTACTGACTCTTACAGGTCATGAGACTGCCAGTCATTTCTTTATGGCAGTTAACTACACAACAATCTTATGGTCTGAATGAACATCTACCCTTCAAATGGGTAGCTTACTCACTTCTAGGTTCTGGCCCAGGATACCTAGCTGATCTAAACTCCACATCAACAGAAATCAGCCATCCAATAGTCTTATTCATTGTTGATACCTCATATAGCGTAATAAAAAAACCCACCGTACTCTAGAAAACACACAAAGAAATCTAAAATAAAAATATTCTCATTAACATTATTCACACATCCCAGTAATAAATTAACTTCCTTAAAAATACTTGTCAATTATTCCCTAAATTCCATCCTTATTTGAGAGGCAACAAGGATGAATTTAAAAAGTGCAATAAAAATCCTCTCAGCCTCCTCTCTCATTCAGGCAGGACTTTCTTTTCTTTTAGTGGTTTCCAAGACATAACTTCTTGTTTTGGTGACATTCTTCATCCACTAACTCAGGTGTCTTGAGACCATCTGAAGCACAGGAAGAAAACGTCTTTAAACACAGCAATTGGATTAAAACAGTAATATTGGAAGACCAAGTTATTGTTGAGTCAAAATATAATTTTTTTTAAAATTTTGTTTACTTTGAGGTACTGAAGTAGAAATTCTAGTGACCAGTCAGTTTGTATAGTGACAGGATGAAGCTTGTTAAATAAACCCACTCTGACCTTTCTAGATCTGGATTAACATTCAGACTTAATCTATGGCCAACACTTCATGTATGAGTCAGTAAAAAATGCCACTCATCTCAGGGAACTTAAATTGAACCTGCAACTTTGTGAGTTATGGTTTCTATTTTAACTAAAACATGTATTTGCCTAAAACTTGATAAATACTAAAAGGCTAGAATTACATTTTTAGTTAAGTTTACTCTTTACATAAAGCAGATTTAACCTAATTCCTCTCAAATGCATTATTGATGGCAGGATGAGTTTGATTTATAGTGTTACTAATTATTGAATAAACATCACTTTGTTGCAACATAAATTTATACTTAATTACATCAAGAGTCCTTAACTTGACAGTCTGGGAGATCCCTTCTCAGAACAATGGTCTTAAATTCTTAATCGAGGGAAATGCTAAATTTCAATAAAAGTTTAGTGAAAGTAAAGACAACATTTTTTTTTCCCATCCAAGTATAGAGGCTCCCTGAAATCTATCTACTGACCCTGGGGGTTAAGAATCCTTGATCTAGAATGTGGCCAGCCAAAAGGTTCAAGAACTCAAATTTTTGTAGAATTATACAACAATTGAGGTTCTCAATCAGGAGTTTGGAAAGCCGTAGAAAATCAGAGCTGTAAGGGACTGTGGAGACTATCTAGTCCAACTCCCTCAGTTCACAGATGAGGAAATGGGTCCAGTAGGTTTGGGTGAACTGACCAAAGTCACACATGCATCAGACTGAAGGTGTGAACTTAGGTTTTTAACTCTTTCTTTTTTTTTTAATCCTTTTCCCACTATAAAAGGATGTCTTCTTAAGTCCTGAAGTACCTTTTGAATCCAAGATTAAATTAAGTTCAGTATAGCTAGAGTGTTAGTTGTATTGAATAGTATTTTAAAACCTAGGTATAAGGCATAGAGTAACTTTCAGTTAATCATGGATTAACTTCCCCCATCATTCTGGATAAATGAAACTTAAGTCTGTTAAGAATGCATATATTTCCATTATTCAGTGCTATGAAATAATTTTCTTATCCTCTATATTAACTTTAAAAAAGCTGATTTGGATATTGGATGCTACTCTATTTGTTTGTGTTTTAATAATTGGTGGTACCTAAAAGTATAGATCTGACTTATAAATTTGGATCACCTAACTTCACATGTAAAACTTTCTCCATCAAATCAATTTTTAATATGGCAAATATCTACTTAGTAAGGCGAAAATATCCCACAATATGCCTAAGACAAATTTGGTTCTCGAATTTATGCATCATTGTACTTAATAACAGGTTATTTGCCAGTATAATATTTATACTTACTCTCTATGGTTTCAGACTCATTTAGTCCCAGAATATGAGCTTCTGTTGGATTCTGTTGCCACTGTAAAAGGCACAAACATTTCGTTTATATATATAAAAAAAAAATAAAAGCACTGCAAACTCCATGCTTTTAAAACAATGAAAAAACAAGAAAAGGGGGGCATTTTCATCATAGCTCTGCATCATTGAGTGCTTTATTACTGTCTCCGAGGAACACTGAGAAGGGCCCCTAGAGATCAGCTAATAAATCTGATTATTTTATAGGTGAGGAAACAGGCCCAGAGAAGTGAAAGGGTTTATCCAGAGAAAAGAAAAAGGCCTTTGAGTGGTTCCTCGGCAGAGAAGAAGATTCAGCAAAGGGGAAAGCAGAAAGTTCCCCTTTCAAGAAATGGCTGTATCCACCAGGCTGCCTCAGAATCGCCCTCTTCTCCTGCCTGACTTGAAATTCCCAACCTTACAGTCACTGAGGGACCAGATAAAGGCCCAAGCACGGAATTCAGAAAACTACACCTCAAATATACGTTTCTTGGGAGCCTGTCTCCATGAACACATAAGACTGAATTAGTTTTTCCCCAATTCATAAAGGTCAAAGGATATGAACAGGCAGTTTTCAGATAAAGAAATTAAAGCTATCTATAGACATATGAAAAAATGCTCTAAATCACTATTAATTAGAGAAATGCAAATCAAAACAACTCTGAAGTGCCACATTACACTTATCAGACTAACATGATAAAACAGGAAAATGATAAATCCTGAGAAGATGTGGGAAAATTGGAACCCTAATGCATTGTTGGTGGAGTTGTGAAATGATCCAACCATTCTGGAGAGCAATTTGGAACTGTAAAGGACTATAAAAATGTGCATACCCTTTGACCAAGCAATAGCACTTCTAGGCCTGTATTCCAAAGAGATCATGCAAATGGGAAAAGGACCCACATGTACGAAAATACTTAGAGCAGCTCTTTTTGTGCAAAGAATTGGAAATTGAGGGGATGTCCATCAGTTGGTGAATGGCTGAACAAGTTGTGGTACATGAATGTAATGGAATACTATTGTGCTATAAAAAATGATGAGCAGGCAGACTTCAGAAAAACCTGGAAAAACTTATATGAACTGATACTGAGTGAAGTGAGCAGAACCAGGAGAATACTGTACACAGCACAATGTATGATGATTAACTTTGATAGACTTAGCTCTTCTTAACAATGCAAGGATCTGGGGCAGCAAGGTGGTGCAGCGGATACAGCACTGGCCCTGAAGTCAGGAGGACCTTAGTTCAAATCCAGTCTCAGACCAAACACTTGACACTTACTAGCTGTGTGACCCTGGGCAAGTCACTTAACCCCAATTGCCTAAAACAAAACAAAACAAAACAAAAAAACAAACAAACAAACAATGCAAGGATCTAAGACAACTCCAAAGGATTCAAGATGGAAAATGCTGTCTACATCCAGAAAAAGAACTATGGAGTCTAAATGCAGATCAAACATATTATTTGCTCTCTCTCTCTTTTTTTTGTTTGTTTTTTCTTTCTTGTGCTTTCTCCCATTGGTACTATTTCTTCTTTACAACATGACTAATGTGAAAATAGGTTCAATATGAATGTATATGTAGAGCCTATATCACATTGTATGCCATCTTGGGGTAGCAACAGGGGAAAGAGACGGAGAAAATTTGGAACTCAAAATCTTATGGAAGTGAATGTTGAAAACTAAAACTAAATTAATTAATTTTAAAAAAGAGTAAATTAGTTTATCACCTTAGCTAGCTGATATCTTGGGCCCTAAGGGGATGAGACACAAGACAGATAAATTTCAGCGAAGGGTACAGGGGAGCAACAAGCCCGGAGTGCAGGGCTGACTTAGGTGATCAGGTGCCTGGGGGGAACAGAACGGAGAATGGGACAGCTACAAGTCTAAGGGAAAGGTCAGACAGAAGCCTTACCTACTTTACCATGTGCGCCCAGGGCCTGCACTGAAGCAGAGCTGTTTTCTTGGAGGTAAATGGTACCACCTCACCTGCCTGACCTACTCACCACTCCAAACAAAGAAAGTGGTATGCTTTCAAGGACCCCCCACAGACAGATATGGTAAGGCCCACAAAGAGAACCTCTTGAGGGCAAAGTGAGAGGCAGTGCACTGCTGGCACAGGCACCTTCTGAAAACATTACAGGGGGATATTCCTTCACCATTCTCCCATTTTACAGTAATTTAAAAAACAAACAAACAACAGACTCTTCATCCAATTTAGTTTCAGAGTCAATCATACTTCCAGTACTCTAATGAGAAGGGAAGGGAACAAGCATTTACATAAGTGCCTATTATGTACCAGGAGCTTTTTTACAATTATTATCTCATTGGAGCCTCACAACAATCCTGGGAAGTAGGTGCTGTCATTATGCCTATTTTACAGATGAGAAAACTGAGATTGACAGAGAGAGACAAAGTGACTTGCCCAGGGTCACACAGCTAGTCAATGTCTAAGGCTGGATCGACTAAGGCTCAGGTCTTCCTGATTCCAGGCTCAGCCCTCTGTGTCCTGTGGCACCAGGTATTTTAGTTTTCTAATGACGATATCAATGGAATTAGGTAAGATGAAAATCTGGTTCTATGTGGTTCACTTAAAAGTAGTCTGGGAAATGGCCACCAGTTTACTTTATAAAATCAGTGTTTAAGATAGTACTTCCTAGTCCTGATTTGGCAATATTCCAGAGCAGAACCAATTACCTCCCAATGATATGGTGAAAAATAATCAAAATAAAAGTAGTATCAATTCATTTTAATGTTTAAAAGCATTCAACTATCATGTATTTTTGTATTAAGTTTTGGCTGAACTGAATTCAAACAAAGAGCCCTAATATGACCACTCCAGGGATATGTGGCCTATCTGAGGACTGGCACACAGTGCCTGACCAGGAAGAGCTCATAGAATCCTGAAAAGCACAGGCTGGACAGATGCTAAGGCAAGAGAGTGAGCTAAACATGTACACCCAGAAATCCACTGAGCAGGGCTCGCTATAGGCCAGCAGCCCAAATGATTTGACACAAATTATCACTAGAGAAACAAAGGCCAAAAATGACAAACTTTGAGGGAATACAACCAGATGGTCACTTTTGGCCAATGGAGATTCTGAACTCTGCTCATGTCAACAGCTGTCAATGGAATGACTTCACCAGTCTGTACTTGCCCAAGGAGCCTGCGTCACATTCTGGGAGCGGAGGTTAACCCGCTATCAGCAGCAGCGGCCCTCAGTGTCTACGGAGACGGAGTAGCCACTGAGGCTGACTCTGGGTGTCAAGTTTACAAGTGCTGGGAAGCAGAGGCTCTGTTCTATTCCCCAAAAGGGCACAGGAGAAGCTAAGGCGAGTATCTGTCTAGAGAAGGAGGGAGAATGTTAACCTGGCTGGGCTGCTGATTCCAAAGCCCGAGTTCCAGGGATCTGACACCCCTACATATTTATTATCATTACTCTGCCATAGGAACAAGGATTTTTAGGCACCCAGACAATCTTAAATAAGTCTGTCTGACCCAAAATGATGCTGAAATATCATTACAATTAAAACAGAAAAACAATTAGAAATTTTTTTTTTATTTATATTGAAAGCTGGTTTTTCAGGGAAGTAGTTTTATGAGGTAGATGATATAGTAGATGAAAATTCTCAAGAAGAATTTTGGGAACTTTTGACATGAACTACATTGATTCTTTGCTGGAATTTTTTTATTAAAAAAACAAAACAAAACAAAACAAAACAAAAACTAAGGTGTCGAGATAATTGCAATTATTTTCTTAAGGCAAATTTCCTTTTTTAGGAATTTGAGAAAGAAATAAGAGATGTTCCTGAAGTAATTAGGTTAGGGTTTTGAAGAAAGGAAGAATAAAGGATTAAAAACAATGATGTCTGTGTATACTTGAAAAAGAAATTTGCCTGAAGTAGAATCATCCCCAGACCAAAGGTCTAATTGAAGCCAAGGGGCCCAGGGAATGTGTCTGGAATGGGGGTGGGGTAAGGCAGCAAACAAGTCCCATATGTACAGATATATGCAAAGCCAATGCTCATAATCTGAGTGTTTGTATAGGAAATCAAACCAATCACCACAGTTTTCATAAATGCTAAAATAATTGGGAACTCATGCTTCTTAACCACACAAAGGGAAGGACACTGTTGAAAAAACACTTTCATCTACTTACTGTAAATTTGCTAACACCTTCAAGCTCCTCAAACCTCATGTAAGAGATGTCTGCCTTCTTTTTTCCAACATCTACATCTCCTGCATAGATCTGTTTGATGCCTGCACCTTTGATTAAAGGCACACACTCATCACATGGGCACTTAGTCACAAAAATCATAGTTCTTTCTTCTGGCTTTATTTCTTGACACCTAGAAATAATGAGAAAAACTTAGGAAAGTGTTAAGCTACTGGTTTTAAAGAAAACTTTAAACACTCTGAGAACAGACAGAAACTTTGGTTTGCTTAAAACTATACCACAGCAACTAAAAAACAGTAATTAAACTTACTACTGGTGAAAAAGCACATTTGATTTAAGGACATTCACAAAAATTCATTAAGATTTTAAGAGACTGGTAAGGTTTGGTACAAATTCTGATTATGCTAGACAAAAAAATTGCAGATGTAAAAAGAAATGAAAAGGGAAAACAGTGAAGTATAAGCACCGTAGGATTATCTTTTTATATAATACTGCTCTGGGGGTTCAATTCAATTCCAACATTTATTTAGGACCTATACTATATGTAAAGAGCACTATGCTAGGTTTTATGGGAAGATACATAGATTAAGATTCCATCTATGCCTTCATGGAGTTTATAGTCTAACAGAGAAAGGACTCCTACCCTATTAAAAAGCTAAGTAAGCATCTTTTATCACGCCTTTTACATTTATGCTTTGAGCTGCATTTATTGTAACCTGATTCTATCATATTACCCTTGTCCTAACAATTTACTTCACAAAAACTAAATATGACAAAACAACTCCCCCACCAAATGCAGCAAATGTCACTGTAATGAAGTGTAAACAAAAGAACAGATTTCACAGGTCAAATTCTTGCAAATTTTTGCATGCAAACTATGGGTTAGGAAGTAAGAACCCTGAAAAGAGGCCACTCACACTCTGCTTTTCTCCCAGAAGCTTTACTGTGCATGATGACGATTTTAGTTCCAAATCCTCCTTTTTTAAGCTATAGTATTAGTACTGACAAGGAATGACAAGCCTTAGCACATTGTCTTAAAATTGTTGAAAAAAGTCTTATCCAGTATTGTACCAGCTAATAGTGTTAACATCATCATACCAGATAGTGGTATGTCTGTCAGTCTGTCAGTCAGTCAGTCAGTCAGTAGATAAGCACTTATTAAACACTTACTGTGTGCCAGGCAATGTGCTAGGCACTGGGGATACAAAGAAAGGCAAACGACAGTCCCCGCCCTTGAGGAGCTCACCATCTCAAAGTATATGCCTAGTTTTCTGAGCAAGACAACAGAAAAAAAATCAGCAGGTCCAACTTTAAGCACTAAAGCAAAGGGCTCTCTGTTGCTTGTGGACCAGCCTTGATACATCTGGAAAGGTAATGGATCACCAGGTAATGAAACCCTTAACCAAAGCCACCAGTGGAGACAAATACACAGCAGGGGAGCTGTGATCTGCACTGGTGGAAAGAGTGCCCACGGATGAAGGGGATCCCTGAAGTATTAAAACAAACTGTATGTCATTTTGTAAATGACATACTACAAATATAGGAAGCAAAGGCGATCTCAGTATTTAGGGTCAGTGTAGTGTGAACAAGAACTAAAAGCAAAACTTTAAATAGTTCCAGCATAGAGGGAAAGGGAAGGAAAGAGTATTCGTTTGGGTGGGTGGAGGAGAAGGGGAACAGGAAATAGAGAAGTATGGTTCAGCTTCATTGTACTTAGCATTGTCAGGAGAAAAAAAATGCCTTAGCTGAGGAGCCCAAGATACAGACCATTCACGAAAAGCCAAATTTAGCAAAAATAATCCTAATTTTTTTCCTGAAATAATGACTGTCCTGTATTTAAAAAATAAAGGCTATTCAAAAATGTCTGAAAGAAAGCCACCCTCTACACCAGATTCCCACTCTTATTAAGAAATATACCCACATGCAAAAACATTCCCATACCTAAATGTCAAGGCATTCTGCTCAGCATGGACAATGTATCTGAACTTTCTTATCTCTCGGTCTTTCTGTTTGTCATCCATGTGTGGGAAGTCAGCATATTCAGATCCAACAGGAAAGGCATTATAACCACATCCTATGAAATACATGGCCCCTGTTCCATCACAGGTTTTCTGCAAATATAAGCAAACAGCCAATATGTTTAATTTTAAACTCATTAAGACATTTAAAAATAATTCAACACGCACACATCACACTCCCCAAAGTCTATCATGTATTTCACTTGAGCATCTAGTATAATGCTTTGCATACAGTGGGTATGCATACATTTCCTTTGACTAAACCATCAAGAAATAAATATGAAGCCTAATTCTTTTTGCTGAAATGTGGTCCTGACAAAGTTATGTTCCAAGGGAAAAAAAAAATCAGCACCAGTTAATCTCATATAGTTCATGGATTTTATACTCATTATGTTATGTTTGGGACTGCTCCCTGTTTAAGGTATATTTTTGGTGTTATTATCTAAATAGATGTATAAACTCCTGGAATTCATAAATTATTATACTTCTTGGTTACCCCCCCATATCGAGTAATGTTTGGGATAAAAAGAAGGAATTCTATAAATGTCTGTTGATTGAATGATGTGCTGAAAGAGATATTTTATGCTGGTATTAATTAGTAGGCTAAGAAGTTGAAAAGTAACTTGAATAAGAACTCCTGTCATGAGGTGTGGAAAGAGGAGTGGTGGCAAAACACATTTTCAATCAGCAAGCACATCGATATGATTTGGAGACATTGGTCTCAGTAAGAATGACTAGTCTTTATTAATGGAGAAAATGGGCTACTTGGATGGGAGTCTTTACTGAATTTTTTAATATTTGAAAAGGTTTTCCTTTCCACCTCAGAGCTTTTGATTGCTTCTTCCGAGTTCTAGAAGCCACAACAGGAAATTATCTACCAGTTTTCAAAGCTGGTGCTTTAGTACTGGCTTATGAAGGTTTAGAAATAGGCTACTATCTTCACACAAACTAGAATGCAGAGAAAGCAATGACTCCTCATGTAAAAGTCCAATCAAATGTCATTCATTCAGCAAACATCTACTAAAAGCCCACTGAGAAAATGGCTCTGTGCTAGAATGCTAGACAACATACAAAGTTTAGATAAGATGTGCAGCTAGATGGTGCAGTAGATCAAGAGCTGGGCCCGGAGTCAGAAGACCTAAATTCAACTCTGGCTCCAGACACTTATTAGCTATGTGACCCTAGGCAAGTCACTGTTTGCCTCAGTTTCCTCATCTGTAAAATAAGCTGGAGAAAGAAATGGCAAACAACTCCAGTATCTTTGCCAAGAAGACCCCAAATGGGGTCACGAAGAGTCGGACTTGACTGAAAAACAACTAAACAACAATGCTTACTCTGCGCCAGGCCCTAGGCTAAGCATTTTACAATTATTATCTCATTTAATCCTCACAACATGGGGAGGTAGATGCCTAGCTCTCTACCTGGTACAAAACAGACACTCAATGTCTGCTCGATCGGAAATCGGAGGCTAAAGAATCTGCTCTACAGCTGGTGGGACAGGTACAGGGACAGGGCCTGGTGACCCCAGGACACATGGAAAAAGTCAGGACCAATCATTAGAGTTAATGAGATAGTGAGTTAATGAGAGTTGAATACAAAGATCAGAGCTGACCAACGTGAGCATCTGACAGACACTATTAACACCTCATTTGTGTAATGACTACTTCACCTGGCAATTTTAACTTTCCGGAACAGTCACGGCCCAGAAAGGCAAGAAGGGCATCGGAGCCGCCGAGACAAATGTGACCAAGTCACTACACTTAACTCAAAGGAGTTCCCTACTGTTATTCTAGACCCAATCCTCTTACAGGTGGTTATCTACTTTCTTAGCTCAAAGCAGTCTGGAAGGGAGTGCTAGCTAACAAAGGGAAAGAAAGAAAAGCAGTAACAAGTTTTCTCAAAACAAGCAAGCCCTACAGACCTCCAAACTCCTCAGGGAATCATATGACAATCGTCACAGCACAATATAATACCTGATGCCCATAATGACGACCCTGTATCATCAAGAAAAAGTCAAATTACGCCCTGTAAGAAGCAAATACACAATCCATTTCATATATTTTTTAAAAAAGCACTTCAACAAGTCCAAATGAATACATTCTGAGTATAATCTGCTTTCAAAACAGATGTTTCTATAGAACAATGGCCAAAATAAAAGTCTCTGGCACCTAAAAGGGTAAGGATTAGTTCATGACAGCCATCCCCAAGGATGCTAAGGTATTTCTTTAGAAGGAAGGTCAATGACTCCCTTGCCAAGGCGACAAAGAAAGCAGGGGCAGCTACGTGGCGCAGTGAATAGAGTACCGGCCCTGAAGTCAGGAGGACCTGAGTTCAAATGCGGCCTCAGACCAGACACTTGATACTTACTAGCTCTGTGACCCTGGGCAAGTCACTTAACCCTAATTGCTTATTTAAAAAAAAAAAAAAAGATGACAAAGCAAACAAACCTACCGCGCTGAACTGAAAACTCAATTAGATTCAATAAACATTAGGCACTTTTCCTTGTGTGCAGGACACTATGCTAGATGCTAGATGCTAGAGATAAAACAGTGAAATAGAGCCTTGACTCCTAGGGACTATAAAATATAGGAGAGCCCAGGCTGCTACTGGACCAGTAATCCTAGTGCAGCTCAGCCTGACATGCTGACATGTCAGCCAGACAACACCACTGACGTGGGATTGAGACAAATGTTCAGGGACCTCACGGATCCCTACTTACTAAGCCCACCCTAAAAACAATCTAACACACCAAAATTCCAACTCAGCTCAAGCTCTACCTATAGTGTATTAAGATTAGAATGTGGCAACAAAATAGAGAGTAAATGGAAATGGAATTGCTAAGAGTTCTTTCATACATACAGATTTCCCTTCGGCCCAAATCACAGCTCCAACTCCTGTTTTGTGATCCTCTGAAAAAAATCAACCGAAAAAAAAAAAAAAAGGGTGGGTTTAACTTAGTAAGAAATTTGAGCCACCTAGGGTTTGGAGGAAAAAGCGTTTTCTTATAAGAAAAACTAAAATCATAATATAACTCACACTTATATAGTGCTTTAAGTAAGTAGGACAAGTGTCATACCCACTTTGCAGATGAGGAAACTGACTTGGAAATATTAAATTACTTTCCCATCATCACATAGCTAAGAAATGTCAGATCTATGATTATTTTTATAAAGGCTTTTTTTCCTTTTATTTCAATGGAGGGTAGGGCAGAAATATTTCTGTTAATTGAACTAAAATATAATTTAAAGCAATTCCAAAGCCAGAATTTAGCCACAGGTCTTCTAGCTCCTACGTCCAGAGCTCTTCCAAAAAAAGCTCCACTGTTGCTTTGGCAACAACAGGCCTCTTCATTGTTCCCAGAAAGGTACTGAATTGGAACTGGAAGGATTCCAGTGTAGAAAGTCAGGTGTTGCATGCCAGTGCTTGGCTGGGATGGCTGAGCAGACCACAGACACCATCTTCTGACAGCCAGAGACTGGGGAGGGCACTGGGTTTGGAGACAGTGTCTACTTTCAAGTCCCAGCTCTGCCACGCACTAGCTCTGAAACCTTGAGCCTTAATTTCCTCAACTTTAAAATGGGGGCGTGTTTGCTCACAAGACTGTTGTGAGGAAATCTAAAGGGCTCTTTAACTGTTAAGGGCAGCTAAGCGGAGCACTGGATAGAGCGTCAGGCCTGGAGTCAAGAAGACCTGAATTCAAATCTGGCCTTAGACATTTCCTACCTGTGTGACCCTGGACAAGTCACTTAACCCTGACTGCCTCAGTTTCCTCATCTGTAAAATGAGCTGGAGAAGGAAATGGCAAACCATTCGGTATCTTTGACACGAAAATCCCAAATGGTGTGAGAGAGAGTCAGACATGACTAAAATGACTCAACAACATAATTGTTATTGCTATGAACTATTTAAGATGAGTGAGATTAGCTCAGTAGTGCCTGCAGGCAGACTATATCATAGGCACAACCAGGGCTAAGTGGAACTTTTCAAATCTTTCTCTAAATTAGCATGTCACTGTTCCTAATCTTTCCACCCAAAGAAGATGATTAAATTATGTAAAAGTTTCTAAAATAGTGGCTTTAAGGTTCACATTGTTCACAGAAATCTCCAGATCTCACCTCCTGTCACTTTGGCATACTGTAATCATGGAAAAGACATAAAAACCTAATAGGAATAGTCTTGTGGGAAAACTGAAAGCATGTGAGAAACAAATACATTTAAAAAATTATTTAAACAGTTGCTCCAAGATTTATTGAGAAGATTTTGTTTAAAACACATTTTGCTCCTTCTCTGCCTTTCTCAGTTTACCTCAAGAAGGAACAAAAGGCTCAATGTGTGACCCTGAGTTCATTTCTGAAGCGAGTGACAGAAGTCATAAACACAAAATATAATAAGATTGAAACCTCTGTTCTAAGAAAAATTATATTGTGTATAATAAACAGAAATTTGAAACAAAAAAAATTCAAGTCCAAGTTTTATGGGTCTGCTTCTCCTCCCACCAATATGTTAGTTTCAAACTTGGCAAGGTTAACTTTGATATTTAAAAAAACATTTTATAATTATGTCAGAGTCATTAGTGTAAGAGTATTAATGAAGCTAAGCTTGAAAAACAGGCCCACTCTAAAGGTCCCACAGCTGTGCAACCATCCTGAGATCTTTTTCAGCAGAATTTGGGTCTCCCTTCTCCCAGTGGATTAAATAGCATGTTGAAAAACCAATTTCTTCAGTATAAACACAAAGAAACCTCATGTCACTGATATTTGACCAGGGGAGTAGCTGATAATAGAATTAATTCTTTAGATCTAAGAGGAAAAAAACTCACTCTAAGGACTGAATCTGTATTTATATACCCATTTATAGCAGTGAATACTCCCTAATACTTCACTTCTGTCAAAGCAAAATTTTCCACTCAGATTTAGGATTTAGGATAGTGGGACTGTCACCCAACATTTGTTTCTTTTTTGTTTTCAAAAGCAATTGTCAACTTGGTTATTTTTCCTCTCAAATTCCTTGAGGTAGGTACAGATTTCATCATCTAAACACTAGCTAACTAGCATTTATATATAACTCTTTATGGTTTGCAAAACACCTTACAAACATTCTTATTTTAGCCTCAAGATAATCTTGTGTGATAAGTGGTATTACTATCCCCATTGTACACATGAGGAAACAGAGAGACAGGAGTTATGTAACATGCCCAAGGTCATGTGGCTGGTAAGTTTTTGAGACTAGACTGGAAATCAGGTCTTCCTGACTTTCAAGCCCAGCGCTCAGTGCACCATGGCACCACCTCGCTGTTATAGATCAACAAAATGGGTATGGAAAAGTTGTGGCTAGAACTCTGCTCTAGACTTACAGCTTAGTATCCTTTATAATCCCAGCCTTATCATAGGCACAAAGTATTGAGTTATTTATAACCAAGATTTCCCCAACAAGATCATATTGGTATATGGTATCCTGGGCTTAAGCAAACAATGTAATTATGGATTTTTCATTTGGGGATCAACCCCTTTAATTTCAATCTGATAACTGTCAGAAAGAATAAGAATGTCCGTCAGTTCTGGTAAAGAAGAGAATGAATGACAAAAAAATCTTCATTACAGGTTTTTAATAGGTGTAGGGACTGGATCTATTAACATCCCGTAGAGGGAACTCCCAGGGTAAGGAACCTTACTGCACATCCTCACCTGCTCTGCGAGGGAAATGCAGAAATCAGTTCTCATCTATCCAAGACTTAGTGCCTGTTTAGGAAGTCTCAAAGCTACGGAAGAAATACCTAAATATACTTTCATCTAATTCTCAAATTTTACTGAAACGCTTCTTGCTATCTTTGTTGCTCTCACTGTTCACTCAGTCGACAACAGTGAGAAGCTCCGATTCATGGTGACTGAGGCAAATTCTGAGGTTTGGCCCAATAGTATTCTGAGGCACAGACTTACAGAAGCTAGAGAAAACCTTAAGGATTGCTCAGCCCAACCCCTTTCTTTTTCAGACTGTTTCTCTTAAGATCACAGAAGGTCGGCAGGGATATTTTACAGTCTGATTGTGGTTTCAAACAATTTGATTTAGAAGTCTCATTTTATAGGTTTCTGACATTAAAAACAGTAAACATAAAGCACCTTGGATTTAAGCTTAATTTATGGTGGAAATAAAGGAACTAACAGCTGATCAAATCAACAATTTCTAATAAAAAAACAACAGATCTCTTTGCTTTTAAATGGAGTAATTTTTGCCTGAATAACATGAAGCAAAAAAGGCCCAAAGAAAATGAAACACATTCTGTTTTTACTTTTTCTAGTCAAAACTGGGATAAATTATATCATCTGTATCATTCACAATCAATGTGAAATAGACTGGTTATACTTTTTGAATAAAATAACTTTCAAGTTTATTTTGAAATTTGTGCCTTCAATAACAACTCATATATACAAATGTATACATATGTATATATGAGGAAGACAGAGGAGAGACAGTGCTTTAAGGTTTGCAAAGTGCCTTTCCCATACCCACTCTAAAAGATAGTACAAGTGTTATTATTCCCATTTTACAGATGGGGAAATTGAGGGTCTGAGAAATGAAGTCATTGGCCCATGATCACACAACTATAGTGTCTAAGGAAGAATTTGCAAGTCTGGCATTTTTTCCCACTCGGTATACCAGGCTGCTCTTCAAAGTCCATCTTTACATATTATGAAAGTAGCTGTTGTTAGATACACTGTCTTCAACCAGCAGTTTCATGAACTACACACACGTTTTTTGAAGTTCAGAAAAGGACAAATGACTCTGCTATCACACTATAACTTGCTGTCTTTGGATTTCTGAAGGAAAACTATTTTGATATGCACTAACTAGAATGACATTCAACTAATTAGGTAAAGGGAAATCGATCTGGATCACAGGCACCTTTCAGCGGTCTATAGATCAAAGGTGGGTGGGAGGAGAAGTAAGTGCAATGGATACTTAAATAAGTTTAATACAAAACTCTTATCCTACCTAATCCTCAGTTTCCTCACATATAAAATGGTTCCTAATGGAACCTTTCTCCAGAGCTGCTAAAGTACTAAAACTGACTGCTGAATTTTGCTTACTTTCTCTCTTCTGCCTGCCCTCTGGTGGAGGGGCTAACAAGCAGTGAGAGGGGTCAAAGGCAAAAGAAAAGAATTCCCCTAGACAATCACACCCTAAGTAATTACAACTTGACTACATAAATGTGGCAAATAGATCACAGGGAATTATAACACTATTTTAATACTACTGCTACCTAGCCAAGTGTCCCACTCATCTATGCTATAAGGAGGCAAATTATGAGTGTTTAAAAGCAAAAGAAATGCTAACATGAATTAAATGAATTGCAGCGATGTTTGATCTAAATATATTACCAGCAAGCCCCAATTTACAAACTAAGAGCAACTCACCAGTCCGGTAGGCCAATAACCTGGCCTGTACCATGCAGTGCCTTGCAATTTCTTGTGGTAAGCTTTGATTGTGAATTTCATTAATCTGCTCTGGATTGCTACAATAAAATCCAAAGTGTTTAAAGTTGGGCACACTGGAAGCTACTGTGGCCAAAAGCAGAATAAGGTCTTTCATATTTTGCCTTAGATTGCTAAAGTATGGATTTTCACACAGGTTCTCCAAGCCTATAGTCATCAATATTTGCTTATGCATTTCTTCATTGGAAACCAGAAATAACATTTCATATTCCTTTATTCTTTCTTGTTTACATTCAAAATAAAAGTCAGAGTTAAAGCCAGGCTGTGTTTTTGCAATTCTTTGAATAAAATCACATTTGTAGGAGGTTTCCTCTACAAACTGCATCATATAACACACCAAAGGTTGAAGCAACACACACACATGGGCTCGACTGTTTGACTTCAATCTTTCCACTGCCTTGGCATCCAGTTTTGCATCTCCAGTACTCAGTGGATTGGAAGCTTCAGTAAGCAAGCTTATTTCTGGATCAGCAGGCCAGTAGGAAATTCGGTTCACTCCAGCTGGAACACAAGATGTAAAAGATCTTAAACATCTTGAACAAATCTGAACATCATCTGAAAGACCCTGATACCTGGGATTTATGGGATAAACCCACCATCAACAAGGCGAGGTCCATCAGAGGTCCTCAAGGTCCATCAGAGATCTGCCCATGACGCAGACTCAAGAAAGGTGCTACTAGAAGCGGTGATTTTCAAAACATGATCCCAGGGCTATTGGTGGGATGAGAGAGCTTTGAAATCCGTAAGTTATAGCACTGTTTACAGTATGGAAATTTCTGAACTTTGGTTTCTGGCATAGTTTACAAGATATTTAATAAAATCCTTTGTTATGTCATTAAACCTTTTGGTTATCCCATGAATAGTGATGTCTTCTACTCTTGGAAGGGGAGGCTATTGCTAAGTAGATGTGGGTGGGATCAGTCATCTCCAACGCATTTTGCCACACCAAAGTAGTTCATTCATTCAAACATTTATTAATAAACACTATATGCAGAAAACTACATGGGTGGGATAGAAGGATGGGGTAGACAAAGCTCAGGACAGTCAGATCACAGATCTAGTGCTGAAACAGATTATAGTGCCTGACCTTATAGAGGTTAAAGTCTACAAGACTCAGAAAGTTAACTAAGAGGCAGTGTTCTACCTATGTCTGCTTCTTATTCTTCTTGACTTCTTGGAGTGCAAAGGAATTATGGTGGCTTCTTCAAAGCAAATTAGGGAAATCATTTTTTTGCCATTGTAACATCCCCATTCCCAAATCAGCTCTGCTGGTAAAACCTCCAAATTAGTACCATGGTTGATGAAAACTGATGCCCACGTGTTTCTAGCAACAACTATTCAAGATAAAGAAAGGAAGGGGACAGCTAAGTGGCGCAATGGATAGAGCACCAGCTCTGGGGTCAGGGGGACCTGAGTTCAAATCTGCCCTCAGACACTTACTAGCTGTGTGACCCTGGGCAAGTCACTTAACCCCAACTGCCATAAAAAAAAAAAGATAAAGAAGGTAAGAAGGAAAAATCCTTATAAAAGGCCCTTGTGCCAGTGGCAGATGCTGCAGAAATGTTCACTTCACTATCTTAACAATAGCTATCAAATCTGGCCTCAGACCCATAATACTTACCAGCTGTGTGACCCTAGGCAAGTCACTTAACCCCAATTACCTCCCAAAAACAAAAAGAAAACAATTGCTAAAGATAGGGAAGCACAATAAAACCCGTAGAAACCCAATTATTAAAGGATTTGACCATCTGAGAGGATCAAACCATATCTCCCAACAGAAAGAGTAAATATGATTACATATAATATGTAATGGTATATACCCAGCTTTCTTATATGAGGTTATATACAGGTCTTCCCCCCACCCCCAACATCATTCTAAAGGAGTTCTACTGACGACTGCTTCCAGCTTCCTCCATTTCATTATCTCACTGAACCAATCCAGACAATTTTAATGGAAGGAAAATTGAACATACCTTTATTTTCCCCTCCATATAAGATTATTTTTAATTCCTAATTTCTAACACAATAAACCCTAATTCTTCACAAGTCTAAGAAGGCTTTCAGTATGTTCTCCTTTTAGAAGCACCCTGTTCATTTGCCTATGTACAATACTTGGGCCTACACATAAATATTTACTGAGCTCAAGAGTGGAATGGTCATATGTAACTTTCAGATGAATAACAAAACAAGGATGGATAAAATCAGAAGAAACGAAGATGTAAATGGGAAGACAAAGAGAGAAGATACTGGACCCAGAGAAAGAAACATTATCCTAGATGCCAGTGGGACCAAACTCCCCTATTCATGTCTCGTAGTACTTCTAAAGAAGTACTTGTAGTACTTCTAAATTTTGAGTGGCAAACAGGCTGGCATTTGAAGTTAACCAATTATAGAAATTCATAGTCATGTAATAAGGAAAAAACAGTAGAGCAAAGTAAAATGATATAGCAGCCATGCCTGAAAGTATATCTAGCACTCTTCATATGTAGTCCACTGCTTCTTTATGAAAAGAAGGGATTAATTTATCCTTTAATTTTGTCCCCCATCCAATCTATTATCAGGCATTCTAAATTCTTCTTTTCTTTTCTCTGCATCCGTATCTTACTTTCTCTTACCACCCTATTCCAGGCACTTATCTCCCACCTAGAGCACTGTAATAGTGTCCATTAGGAGAACATAAACAACCCCTAGCCTTTCCTCATCTACTTACCATACTGTGCAATACTGTCAGATCTATCTTTCTTAAAACATTGCTTTAAAAAAACAAACAAAAAAAAAAACATTGCTCTCACCATGCTTAAACCCTGCTCAACTCCCAATTACCAACAGCAAGTTGTTGTCCTCCAAGTGGTGGACCACAAGTAATAAATCAATTTCAGAAACTAACCATGTAGATGGAAGGGCACTCAGCTGTCACCTTGTCAGAGCTAAAACTAATAATTCTGGAACTCAGAACAAGTAGCATTAAAGATGCCCTAAGATGCCAAAAGAGGACACAAGATCCTATGAGAGAAGAGTCCCAGGGACACTGCTCTATGGAGGATGTAGGAGGAAGAGCACAGCCAGGTTACAGACCAGAGAGGAGATAACCCAGGATGTAAGGAGTAGGGAGTGTCAAGGAGTAAGTCATCTGGTAGTTTTAATTATTCTTATTAACTAGATACTAAACTTAGTGGTTTCCACCAGCTGAAATCAAGTAAGTATTGTTAGCATTCTCAAAATTGCCACGCCCTGATCAACCTGCCCTGTACAGCTCTGTACTTTACTTCCCTTCTGTGCCAACATTTTCAGTGGGCAAGGAAATCAGGCCAAAACTCAGTATCATAGCTTCCCCCCTCAATAGAAATATACCTGAAAGTCTCAAGGAGAAAGCCCTGTCAATGGCTTTTCACCACATACTCTGCCACCCTGGAAATGCCCCATGGTTCTCAATCATTGGTTCTTCCCCACTCCCAACCTCCTTCCCATGGGCCATCTTAGGGCTTCTGGTTAAATAAAAAAATAACTACTCCCCACAAAAAGGAGGACTTCTAAGATAGAAGGTAAAACTCCAAATGTGACTGGCATTCAAGGCCCTCAACAATTTGTCCTTTTTAATCTAATTCTTAATATTTAAGAACACAAACACCCTAGGTCTACTCATTGATCCTTGAACACTACTTGGTTCTTATTACCTCTACGACTTTCCTCATGTTTTCTGTCCTAAATTCTATCTATCCCTCAAGATCCACTCCCTCCATGAAGCTCTGTCCAACCACATCAACTTACAATGACCTCTCTCTTCCTTGAAATCCGTTATTTACTATATTACTCATTTGATTTTTGTAAATACTGCCTTGAATTTTTATTTTACATTTCATGTGTTTTATCTCCCTGCTAAAGCCTTCCTGAGGACAAGAGTAATCTGTAAATTCCCAGAATCTCCATATATGGTAGATCCAATAAATATTTGTTGAAAGAATTATCTTCTTAGACATCCATTATGAGAACAGAATCAGATTTTTTAGCAATTAGAACTAGACAGTCTATTTCTTCCAACTTAATGGTGAAAAGACTGAGGCACAGAGGTTAAAGTAGCCTACTCAAGTTAAGACTACTAGTCAGTCAGTGGCATACTAGAACACAGGTTTTAACATGCTATCTCCTTGTAGCTAATTACTATAGAGTGTTCTCAGCTAAATTTTATTTCATCAAGGACACTTGTTTCCGATATACATTTCTACACTTACCATTTACAATCATTTTCAAACAAGCTGAACATGGTTTTCTGGAAAAATAAAGATCACAGTTTTTCATCTTAGACCCATGCCTAATAAGAGCAATTTGCCCAGCATGTAAATCTTCACTAGAACAATGGAGACCAACAATTTTCATGTTTTTCACCACCACAAGACCAGTTTTCTTCACCTATATCAAAATACAAAATATTATTTCATTAGAAATGACACATTGAGAGAGCATATCATAGATAACACTTGGCTTGCTGTAATAAAATAAACGGACTGGCCTCCTCATCTGAAAACGGAATGAGCAGAAACATCTTGAGGGAAGGTGCTATACCATATTTATTTTTGAAACCCCAAAGTCTTGCATAGTTTGCACACAGTAGGCACTTAATAAATGTTAGCTGAGTTTGGTGAATTTATTCTAAATAAACACTGTAAAAGTTTAATGCTTACTTAACTATGTTGAAGAGTTCCCACTCCATATTCTATTATAAACTATTCACAAAGCTTGTAGATGTCCTAAGTTAGCTTGGTCTGGAGATACATAATACAATGTACAAATAAGTTAATTTTTTTAGTTCTGAAAACGGTAAGGACCATGTTCCATAGAGTACCCATCCCAGAATCACAAAGTAGTAGTATTTCTGAGGGACAACAGAGTCATTAACTTAAAAAAAAACCAAAAAACACCTAAATTATTACTAAAAAGTTGGATTACAAATCAGGGAATGACAACAAAATAGCAATATTAAGTATATTCAATGAATTTATCAAAAAACATCAATCTCTGACCTACCACCTACTAAAAGATTAAAGTATAAAACAGTCAGTGATGGGTTCAATGTTTTTGCTAACTAGGATAGAGGGAATCTTCTGGGGTAATATATTTTAACTACCTTTTTTTTTTACATGCTAACTGCTGTTAGATTGATATGTTTTTATCCTCTCCCGACTGAATTTTAGCTATCAACATCTCAGGAGATAACAGCTAGGCATATGTCAGCTTGAGTTTTTAGAAGGATGGAAGTCTCCAGGGTAATGAATAAAGCAGTGCAATAAAATGGAAAAAGCTCAGGTTTGGGAGTCATAGGACCTAAGTTCCAATCCTAGGCCTATGACTTCACTTTTCTGGGCCCTAGTTCCCTCACCTGCTTATACAATGAAGGGGTCAAATTAGGCTGAGATCTAAGGTCCTCCTTCTGCACCACAGTCTATAACAGCAATGTCATAATAAGTCTAATTTCATAGTACAATACTGAAGCAGAGAAGGAAAATCTCAAGTTAATGAATCAGCTATCACATAGAATCTAACTATTATAAGAGGGACTAAGATATTAAAGAAAGACAAGATTCAAATAAATACAAATTATTCTTTGGGGAATCACAATCCCAAGCATTTATCAAAATCTGTTAATGGGGGGCAGCTAGGGGCTCCGGCCTTGGAATCAGGAGGACCTGAGTTCAAATCCAGTGTCAGACACTTGACACATACTAGCTGGGTGACCCTAGGCAAGTCACTTAACCCCGATTACCTTACTAAAAATAAATAAATAAATTTGATTATATTTGGGGCAGCTAGGTGGCACAGTTGACACAGCACCGGCCCTGAAGTCAGGAGGATCTGAGTTCAAATGCGGCCTCAGACCAAACACTTGACACTTACTAGCTGTGTGACCCTGGGCAAGTCACTTAACCCCAACTGCCTTTAAAAAAAAAAAATCTGTTAATGATAATGATGTTAGACACTGCACAAAACAATTAAGCAAGAGGTAAGTTCTTACCTCTCAAGATACGCCCCCCACACCCATTTCCCCACCCAATAAACTCCAGTGGCTCCCTATTACCTCCAGGATTAAATATGAACTCCTCTGTTTGGCTTTTAAAGCCCTTCTTAACCTGCCTCCCTCTTTCTATTCCAGCCTTCTTACATCTTACTCTGTTATCCAGTGACACTGGCCTCTTTGCTGGACCTTGCACACATCACCCCATCTCCCAACTCCAAGCATTATCACTAGCTGTCTGTCATGCCTGGAATGCCCTCCTTCCTTATCTCCACCTCTCTCCTGGCTCCCCTGGCTTCCTTCAGTTCTCAGGTAATGACTCACCTTCAGCAAGAATTCTGTCCCAGACCTCTTTAATCTTAGAGCCTGCCCTCTGGGTTTGCATATTGTCCCTCCTTTAGACTGAGCTCTTCAAGAGCAAGGACTGTTTTGTTTTTTTTTGAACCTTTCTTTGTATTACCAGAGCTCAGTACAGCGTGGGCACTTAAATGCTAGATAACTGACAATAATGATGCTAAAAGATGTACAGGACACAGAAGTGTGATTATAAAGCAATAAACCTGACTTTCATTTGTGGTATGTGGAACCTGTCTTTACTTTCACTCCTTATATACTACTTTATAACTTTAACATCATACCTTATATATTACTTATGCAGTAAATTACGAAAATTAGGATTTTACAATAAGCAGAACCCAAAGTACGTGAAAAGGAGACATACAGCAAGGTATAGATCACCAGTTTTCTAATCAGGCACAGGCTTCTTAAGGAGGACACAGAGTTTAAGAAGCTGTTTGAATTCTGACAGAGACAGAGATGATGAGGGAGCCACAAGGTATAAAACAAATGCAGTCTTGAAGGTGGAGTGAGATGGATGAAGGGAGAAGAGCACATCTGTCTACAGTAAAGCAGAGAGAAGAACAAAAGCAGGGGTAGGGGACCTTCTACATCCTCAAGTGCGGCCTTTGGCCTGATGAGGCCATGGGCAGCCTTAATGCTGCAGATTCCCCACCCTGGACAAAAAGATAAAGCAAGAGAATAAATTATGTCAAGGAAAGGCAAAAGAGCCTCACTGTCTGCCTCAATCCTTTAGTGTGAAAGTCACTGGCAGGATCAGATGTGCACGTGCGGCTACTGTGTGCTTAGAATGTGCTATTTAGTTAAAGGGAAAAAAGGGATTTCACTGTAAAGTCACAGTCCTTACTTTAAGGTTCCCTTAACATAAAAAATGATGTAAAATTATTTTTTCCCTAAAGATACACAGTTCTAGTTTTTTTTTAAATTGTTTTCAACTGTATGATTCAGTATATAGGTTTCTTTTATACAAAATGCTCTAGCTTTTGTATAAATCTAAACCTCACTTTAAGGTCCCCTTAAAACAAAAACAAACAAATTAAAAAAAAAAAAACTTTTGAGAAAGCACCACACAGAGGGAACTCTACTAAATAAAACATTTTGAAAATATGAATTGCATCCCAATTTTGGATATGAATCCTTGATTTCCTTGAGAACATAGCCTGGTTTTTTTGGTTTGTTTTTGGCTTTTTTTTTTTTTTATTCCTATGCCTAATACAGAGTCAGGTACATGGTAGGCACTTAGTAAATGCCAGCTGATTTACTGACTGAAACATGATATTCTCTGGAATGCCTCAATGTAATTTCTAGACAGAACAGTTTGATAGGAAGTTTATTCTTTGAGTCAACCATCTAAAAAGTAGAGGGAAACACTAATTACTTTATTTAAAATAAAATCAGGAAACTGAAGTATTTTCTTCAACCACGAAAAAAAATATCCAAAAATTATAGGGAAAGAATCTGCTTTAAAGTTCCAAAAGAAAATAGAACGTACAAAAGGTCGGGGCCAAATTGCAATCTTGCATGCACATGGATAGCACCCTTTAAAAAAAATCTATTCAGGAAGCTTACACAAGGCTAATTAAAACTGAGTGATTTCTACTGGCAGTGCAAATTGGAGGCTCCTTGATCCTCTTTCTAAAACAACCTCATTTAGGAATATTCACATTGGACTTATCACGATGACATTTTTGTAAGGTGAATAGTTGCAGAAATGGCAAGCACCTAAAGAAAGAGATCCTGACAAAAATGCATTTTTTTTCAATTAAAAAAAAGGTACTAGAATCTCTTTGTTATCAATCATACCCACTAGGGACAATAAAGACCAAATGATAAGGAACATCCACTTAAAAGACCTCCTTTCTTGTTAAGTTAAAATCAACAATGATTTTTACATGACTGGAAAATAGCTATAGAATAATTTTAAAAGGCTCTTTCTACTAGGCCTAGGATTATAGATTTAGAAATGGAAGAGACCTCAGAAACCACTTACTCCAACCCTCTTGTTTTACAGATAAAGAAACTGAAGACTAGGGAGATCAAGTGATTTCTTGCTCAAGACATACTGCTAAACATAGTAATGAAACAGCCGTATGCAGGCTACTTAAGTATTCAAGTTCACTGAAATCAAGAGAACTCCCACTGAAATAGGAACTGCATTTTTTATTATGTGTGCTTTTAAAAAATAGCTCACCTTTATATTTATTATAATGCTTACAAAGCACTTTCCTCCTAAGAACCCTGTGAGGTAGCTTTCACAGCTAAGGAAATGTGAAGGTTTGGTGTACTTGACTAGGTCAGACAAGTTACTGACAGCATCAGAATGTGAACCCAAGTCTTCTCATTCCCAAGTCAGTATTCCTCCACTCTCCATCACATCCTCCTTCTAAATGTGCTTTAAATCAGTGCAAAGAATTTGGATGGATCTGACTTTTTGCAGGGGGTGTGTGGAAGATTTAAATGTACTAATCAAACAATTAATTAGTTGCACTAAGGTTGTATGCTGACAAGTTCAGATTGTTCCCAGAAATGAAAAGTAGGATTACGTGTGATATTATGTAAGATTCATTTTTTCCTACAGAAACACAAGTCTAGTTATTTTTCTACTGCTTTTGACTTTATAATTCAGTATACAGATTTTTTTATACAAAATGATCTAGTTTTTGTATAAATCTAGAAGAATGCAGTTAATGTATCAAAAAAGGGCAATATGAACTGAATTTTCAAGTAAAACACTAAACTTATCTTGAAATTGGAGAACCAAGAATTCTACTTTTTTTCTCTCGTATTTATCTGAATGTCAAGGTTTTAAACACAAACTCTCTTTATTCACTTTATTAGCCTACTTCAAGCTCCTCTTAGTAAGCTGGAAAGTAAGTAAAAATGTTGCTTTCAGAAGTGACTCACTGAAGGGGCAGCTAGGTGGCGCAGTGAATAGAGCTCTGGCCTTGGAGTCAGGAGGACCTGAATTCAAATCCAGCCTCAGACACGTAACACTTACTAGCTGTGGGACCCTGGGCAAGTCACTTAACCCCAATCGTCTCACCATAAAGCAAAACAAAACAAAACAGAAGTGACTCACTGATGTCACGTATCCAAAAATATCACCATTAAAATTCATTTCACTATATTGAACCAACCAAAATGACTGCCACAACTGGTTATAGTACACTGATTTTGCCATGAGATTTACTTAATTGCTGGTAATAGATGGTAATTAAGAGGCAGCTAGGTGGCGCGGTGGATAGAGCACAGGCCCTGAAGTCAGGAGGACCTGAGTTCAAATCCGGCCTCAGACCGAAAACTTGACACTTACTAGCTGTGTGACCCTGGGCAAGTCACTTAACCCTAATTGCCCAACCAAAAAAAAAAAGATGGTAGTTACGTGGGAAATCTTGGCTATGGAAGAATTTTTCAAAGTTACTCTAATAAATAATAAGTGAAAACTTAAATAAGGCTCAGTTGACTTAATTTTATTTAGGTAAGCTTCTGAACCAACTTTGTATACACTTTCTTGCTTAGATTCCTAGGAATCCTATTTACTTTACAATATAATTTATTACTTTTTCTTTTTTTTACTTTATGATGGTCTAGTCAAAACATCAGAATTTTGGGCAAAGATTTTCTATTCTAAAGTTAAAGAAATTCTGAAAAATTCCAAAGTTGCATTCCACTTAGGCAGTGTGATTTAATAAGATTCTCAAAAGGATTTAGGGAAACTAAATGCTTTTAGTGAATCATTGTTCTGGATCCTGATTTTGCTTTATTTCACTGACAATTATGAAAGAGGATTCATGTGATCTTGTTCACTAAGTAATCTACAATTAAACACAGGCAACTAAGAATAGACTGTTCTAGAGAAGAATCAATATATTTACTATCTATTTTCAGGGATTCAGCATTTATTATTACTGTTGTCAACAACAACCAACATACTCTTTGATCCAGTGACACTGATGTCATGGCTATTCCATAAATAAGATACTCTATCTCTTGGCCCAGGCTTTTTTCTGGCTGTTCTCCATGCCTAGGATGTTCTTCCTCTCCATCTCTGCCTACACACTTCCCTGGATTCTTAAGTCCTAACTAAAATCCTATTTTACAGGAAGCCTTTCCCAACCCCTTTTAATTTTAGTGTCTCTCCTCTGTTATCTTATATCCCCTATTAGATTGTGAATCCCTTGAGAGCAGGGCCTGCTTTTTACCTCTCTCTTTTTTTCTTTTTTTAAAATCTCCAGTGCTTAGCACAAGGCCTGGCACATAGTAAGTGCTTAATAAATATTAAATGTTAAGTAGATGCTTAATAAATAACCATATTCATATAGCTTTTTCATCACAACAACCTTATGAGGTAATTAGTATAAGTATTATTATCCTCATTTTACTTATGGAGAAACTGAGGCTCAGAAAGTTAAAGTGATTTACCTAAGAACTATTAAGTATCTAAGCAGGATTTCAAATGCAAATTACCTGCTTCCAGGTAGTGTCGATCCAGCACTCAACACTATACAATGGTGCCTCATTCCCCGTTTTCTCCTCACCACCTTGCTGCATAATTGCACTAGTAGCTCATTTTCCTAATAAAACTTTTTTGTATTTTAGATGAACAACTTACATTCACAGAACCAGAAATAACATGAGATATCTACACTAATATGTACTCCTACTGTCAAAAAAAAAAATCTTTTAAATGAGCACAAAGGCAAAATAAACACAGAACATAACAAATTATTTATTTATACTTCAACCTTTCAAGTATCTGTGATTTTATCAGTACGGGACTCTCGAAAATGGTCTTCAAGAGATACAGCTGAATTCCTTACCAACCAGCCAGCTTTGTGGTGATGCATCTCTTCAAATTTAAGGCAGGCAAGTGCATAGACAACAGACATAAAAACACAGTGCTCCACTCAACTCACACTCAAAGCCCTTCTAGCTTGTTAAGACCTTCCAGACCTTGTGGTCCCTTTTCACTGGAGGCCAGATCTAGCTTAGACTGAATACTATTTATACAAAATACATGCATTTTTAAAAGAGTAGGACAAATTTCAAATCACAGCAAGGCTAAATCCCAATATCTCACAGGCAACTTAAAATGATTTTCAGAAATGTAAAAATCATTTTGAGGTAACTATTTTTTTGCCTCTTTGCAGAGGCCTAAGGCTATCATAAAAAATAGAAAAAATAATCTCTAAGGTCATTTCCAGTTCTAAGAGTTTATTATCTAAATCACAAGAAAAAGATACAAAATCCCTTATAAAAATTAATGACAAATCTTGTTTTACTACTTTCAAATGAAAGGGAATCTGTTTCTTACTTCATTTCTTAATCTCACATTTCTTACTAACAGGAATATTTTATGATGTTAGTCAACACTTTCCTCTTCTCAGTGCCACCACAATATTGCTATTTACAATATTCTGTATGCTGAATTTTCACTCTAGATATTAATAAAATAATATGTGTGCGTATAAATATATATATGTATACGTATACAAAATAAAAGACATTTGGACCCTTTTAGAGGATACTATTTTAGTTAGGCTTAATTGTCTGTATAAGTCCTGAGCACTAATTCAAATATTAGTTCGTTTAAAATAAGTACGAAGTTGGTACAACAAGATTCCCTTTTTATAATCTACTATAAACTTAGGTTGATTATTTATAATTCCTTTTTCTAAAGAACAGAGTCCTGCAATAATTAATATAAGCTTTCAATTTATAGTACACTGATTTAAGGTTTTGTTCGAAAAAATATTTTAAATATACAATACTTATGATTTTGTTGATTATCGTTGAGTGGCTTAATCAAGAGCCAACAAAAACTCCCTTAGTAAAAAACTGTCCATCCTGAAAATGAGTGGACAAAAAAGAATTCTAAGAGGAATGACTGAATACCCTCTTAAAATACTATATGCATTGAAAGAAATCAATACAGTTCATAAGGAAACTTAGTTGTACTGACTTTCAACGTTGCATTTTTAACAAAGCACATACACCCAAAAAGACCCTGACTGCCACCTCAGCTTACACGGCCAATGCATAGATCTGGGGCCGAAGGGCCCTCAGAGGCAATCCAGTCCAACACCTTCACTCTAGACATACGTGACCAGAGAGCTATTGCACATCAGTCAGGTTAACAGATTAGGTGGATAGGTAGGCAGGTAGATAACACAGATAGATATGGATAAAGCTATGTTTTGCTTTTTTAATTCATTCACCTGTTTTTTGTCATTTGACACTTTGGCCACATCTGCATTATCTCCCAAAGGTCCAAGTTCATCCTCTTCCTTTCTCTGATTAACAACAAAATTTTTTAAAAGGTGTTAACATCTAGGCATATTCTGTTTAGTACCAGGTCAACATTTTCTTTAGCAATATTTTTTTCCTTTTATTTTTAAAAAATAACAAGAACTTTCATTCATTTTCTGCTGAGGCCTCACCTTGAAAATATTTATGCAGAATAATTCCTTTATGCTGATTTTCTGTCAATACAGATTTTAGACAAGTTTTTTATATAGTCAATGTTGTCTTTTTCCCTAGGCATCTATCTATATCTTCTACTAAGACAAAATTTTATCTAGGAAAATAACTCCAAAGTTCATTACCATGAAGCCTACTACTTTGAGAGGTAAGCTTTTAGAGCTAATTTCTTATTACTTATACTAAATTTACTAATTACAAAGGAAAAGCCTACTGAATTGCCATTCTCAATCAATTCTTTATTCTTCTTTAAGAAGAAACAAATCAAGTATAATTTCCCCTCTAGGTGGTCTTCCAACTTCATAATTAAAATTTTTCTCTATAGCCTTTAGAAAAATTATGAAATATAATCAATCAGAACTGAAACAATATAAGCTCTTTTTATTAAAGATAAAACTGAAGGAAATATTATTAACTCAGAGTCTAAAGGAGTTATATAAGATGTACAACTAAAGGCTTTCGAAGAGTGAAATCTAGGCATATGGTTGTACCTAGAAGCCAGAAAGACTAAATAAATTCTCAAAGTTATTTCCACTTCAATGACATTCTAATTCTTAAACACTGATAACTAACTTATATTTATGTGTTAAGATTTACAAAGTACTGTACAGGCCATTATCAATCAGTAAGATTTCATTAAGCATCTACTATGCTTGCTGCTAGGGATACAAATACAGAAGTGAAATGGAGGGCAATACTATATATTCACAGATATGCAAAAATAAGTTATGTGTGTATGTGCATACACACACACACACATACATATAATCTATAGATTTGGACAGAAGGCAATAACTGTGGTGAGTCATGAAAGGCCTCTTGAGGAAGGTGGAAGTTAAATTCTGCCTTGAAGGGAAATTATGAGTTCTAAGAGACAGAAGGGAGGATATTCAACATGTATGGGAGAGCCTATGTTAAAGTATGGAGGTAGGAGGGGGAATGCCATATAAAGGAAACAGCAAGTACTCCAGTTTGACCAGAGCACGTGAAAGAAAGTAATGTTTAATTATCCTACCAAGACTGACACTTAGAGCCCTATACCACATAGTCCCAGTGAAACTTCAGTTATTGGGGAGTCATTAAAACTCCTTGAGCAGAAAACCAGCCACATGGTCAAATACGTGCTTTATGAAAAAAAAAGTTTGACAGCTATGTGGATGATGGATTGGAGAGGGAAAGACTTGAGGCTGGGAGACCAATTAGGAGGTTATTACAATAATCTAGGTGAACAGTGCTGAGGACTAAACTATGGTAGAGGATTTATGAAATGAATGATGAGAAGAGAGTATACGCAAGAGATATTTGAGAGGCAGAATCGATAAGACTTGGCAACTAATTTCCTACAGGAGGTGTGGAAGGAATTAAATTGATAGAATTTGAAGATATTTACCATATGAGCAGGAGACTTCTTTCCCAAAAATAGCTTACTGAATTCTAATTGACTAATAGAGATTATGATATATTTATGACAGTTTATTCCAGAATCATTGGAGTATTCAAATGAATATATTTTTTAGGCTAGTTATCAAATTTCTCACTAATGTGGTATAATCCATTCTTCACACATTAAGTTGGCTATCTTAATACTAATTAATGCTCTTTAGATAATACATAATCAAAAATATATTCTTTTCTTAGTTCTTCTAAAAATCAATGGTATGGTTCTTTCCCAACAGCTACTACATTTAAAAACAAACAAATGAAAACCTTACGAAATACACTAGTACTTTATCAACCTGAAAAGTTCTGCCAGCAAACAATTTAAAATTTGTCTTTCAAATCTGAAATCACTTGTCTGGAATTTGAAATGCATTTTCCTCACAGAAATAATGTTATAAATAGTGGTTAAATTCCTAATCCAGCTTACAAAAACCTATTTAACTATAATGTAGCTGAAACAGAAACTATTATGAGCTTGAAGCCCATAGTGGGGTGGGATGGGGTACAGGTAAAGACTGAGGAGAAGCTCCAATGGCTGGTCAACTCCTACAACAATTTCAGAAGGGGGCTCTTACAACTCTGGCACTGGCAGTTCTGGTGGTGGCTGGGGAATAAGAGGTTGCAGAGGTAAAGGTAAATGGGAACAGCATTAATTTAGGTATGGAGATTTTTCTAAGTCATATGTTTATAAAGAGGGGACTGCCTATATCTCAACATCACAGAATTTTAAAGCTGAAATAGATGTTGGACATCTAGTCTAATTCATACCTAAATAAGAATCTCCTCTAGGATATGCTGTTGAAGAGGTCTTCCAAGCTCTGCATGAGGACCACTAGTGATAAAAACAAAACACCATATCTTTAAACAACCTATTCTACATTTTCAGGAAATTTTTCCTTATACCAAGACAAACTAATTATCTGTAATTCCTACCCATTTTTCCATCTAAGTTCAAACAGGACAAGTCTAATTCATTACTCTTTTTTTCCAAGACAGCCCTCCATATATTTGAAGACGGCTAATACGTCCTCTGAAAGTCTTTTCCTTCCTTTACTAATCATTCCTAACCTAAACCAATCCTTCAAATTACATACTCTTTAGTCTGCTCACCATCCGCTGGCCCTGCCATAAGGATGTTCTAGCCTCCTTAAAATATGGCAATCTGAACCAAACACAACACTTCACTTGTAGTCGCATCAAGCAGAATACAGTGAGACAATTACTTCCTTTATTCTGAACAACATCAGACTGATTTTGAGACAGACTGACTAAGATAGTGTTAGCTTTTTGGGGGCTGCCATGCCATGTTATTACCCCTTATTAAGCTTCCAAACCACTAACCAATATATAGCCATAGAGTTCCCTTTTGGTATTTGTGCAACTGATTTGTTTTACATTTGTTCCTTTTAATTTCATCTTATTAGATTTACCCCATCATTCTAGCCCAGTGAGATCTTTTTGGATGCTGATTCCATGATTCAATTCAACAAGCATTTATTAAGTTCATATTAATGCTAAGCACTGAAGATTCAAAACAAAAAGAAAAAGTTACCTATCTATTCAGCTTTTCTCATATGCAAATTTTGATAGACATGTTACACATGCCATCGAAAATCACTGAAAAATAAATGAACAGCTCTATGCTGTTCAATAATTATAAGGGCAATGAATCTACTATTTGACATTTTAAAAAATACGATGTTAAAGCAACATTGTGCAATGATCAACTATGATAGACTTAGCTCTTTTCAGCAATACAATGATCCAAGACAATTCCAAAAGACTCATGATGGAAAATGCTATCCACATCCAGAAAAAGAACTGATGGGAGTCTGAATACAGATCAAAGCATACTATTTTCACCTTCTTTGCTTCTTTTGTGTTTTTTTCCTTTTGTTCTGTTTCTTCTTTCACAACACAACTAATGTGGAAATATGCTTAACATGATTGCACATGTACAACCTATAACAGATCGCTTGCTGTCTTGGGGGTGGTGAGGGAGGAAGGGAAGGAGTGAAAAAATTTGGAACTCAAACTCTTATACAAAATGAATGCTGAAAACTATCTTTCCATGGAATTGGAAGAAATAAAATACTATTTACATCAAAATTTTTTTAAAATTAAATTAAAAATAAATTATATATATATAATGTTAAAGCTTAAAAATTCCACATGCTACTAATTTCAAACAGGTAGTGGATACAGATTTAGGCACAGAGATTCCAAATAAAGATTTCAAACAGGATATTTGAAATTTTTTTAAAGTACTGATTTCTTTATTATGGAATTTGACAAATGAGAAAATAGGATGCCAGGAAAACTGTTAACCTAAGAAAGTTTAAGGTACACAAAGACAATTTTTAAAAATATTAATTTAAACCATGTTAATAATGTGTCTTTATAATCATATAACTGGGTTGGAATTATTTTTATCAAGATGTTAACAATAAGCCTAAATAACTGAAAAGAGCTACCTTGGCTTCATTACTAATAGTCATTGGTATATAATTATTCATCAAACACAATTCTGCACCTTTTATTATTTCCCATTCATTTGGAGAAATTAATGAAGTCTAAAGTAATTTCAATAAAATGCATCATGAATTTCTTCACTTTAGTATAGGTTCTATCCTTCTCCTTCTCTAATTGCTACAGTGGAAAGATCTCTGGAGTTGGAGACCCAGGAACTGAGTTTGAATATCAGCTCTGTTATTTATTTTAATAAAAGTTGGCCTAGGCACTTCAGTTCTTTGGGTCTCAGTTTCCTCATTCTGTAAAATGAGGGGATTAGATTACATGACTGCTAAGAACCCTTCTTATTTTTGATCTAAGATCCTATAATATCTGTCTTACATGTTTTCTGTTAAAGCTTAAATGTGATTAACCTTTTAATCTAGTTTTTTAAAGTCCCAAAGCTCTCAAGAATCTTTATCTCAAAATGTCTAATTGATGTTTTACCCATAAAAATGATTCTTAGGAACTTTATATTTTAATGAGAGAAGTAGTAAGAGATAAGCAGTAAGAACTAGCATTAAAGTTCATAAGGCAAAAGGTAAATTTCTTTAATGAGATCAATTAAATAGCAGGGAAAAAAGCAGAAGAGCAAGGGTTTGAGGAATAAGGGAGAGACTTAAAGATATGAAAAAGAAATCATGATAAAATTTTATAGATAATGCTCTGAGAACACAGAGACTTAATTCAATTTTTAATTTAAAATTTTAATCTAATTCAATAAACATTAACTAAATACGTCCTCTGTAGAAGGCACTGTACTTAAAGGGGAAAAAACATTTTTTATTGAAAATCAAGGATTTCTCTGTTAAGAGCCTGCTATCCAATATGTACAGGGAGCTAATAGACATATATAAGATCAAGAGCTGCTCACAAAGTGGTCAAAGTATATGAACAGAAAAAGTGAATTAAGAGAGGTGTAGCTTATAAGAATCAGGAAACAATGAAATTAAACACTCATCTAACATTTATTAAGTTCCTACTACGTACTATGTGTAAGCATTGTGCTGTGCTCTGGTGATAAAAAGATATTAAAAACAAAACAAAATAAAACAAAACCAGCCCCTGCTTTCAGTCTAATGGGGGAGAGAACATAAAAACAGTTATGTACAAACAAGATAGACAGGATAAACTGAGGCTAGTCTCAAACGGGAGGCACAAAGATTAGGGAGGACTGGGAAAGGCTTCTTGTAGAAGGATGGGACTTTAGGGGCAGCTAGGTGGCACAGTGGATAGAGCACAGGCCCTGAAGTCAGGAGTACCTGAGTTCAAATCCAGCCTCAGACCAAACACTTGACACTTACTAGCTCTGTGACCCTGGGCAAGTCACTAAACCCCAATTGCCATAAAAACAAACAAAGAAAAAAAAGATGGGACTTGAGCTGTGACTTGAAAGAAGCCAGGAGGCAAAAATGAGGAGGGCAAATGTAATAGGCACAGGGAAGAACCAGTGAAAATGCTCAGAGTTAGAAGAAAGTGTTTGGTTCTGGACACAGCAGATTAAGAACATCTCTAATTAGCTAGAGAGTATCCAAGAGGAGGACAATTAAGATGGTAAAGCACCTTGAGAGCATGTCAGGAGGTACTGAGGAAGTTAGGCATGGAAAAGACTCAGAAGATAAAGGACAACCAATGGTCTTCAATTATTTGAAGGGCTGTCTCATGGAAAGGGATAAGATGTGTTCTCTTTGGTCCCAGATGGCAGAACCAGGGGCAGTGGGCATAAGCTGCAAAGAGGTAAGAAAGTGGCTTGATAACAGGAAAGGCTTCCTAACAATCAGCTCTCTCAATCAGTGGAAGGAGCTGCCATCAGTGGTGTGTGAGTCTGTCTTCAAGAAGAAGCTAGATGACCAGTTGTCTGATACGTTACAGTACAGATGCTTTTCATGTATGAGTTGGGGACTATATGGCAAATAGGTCTCTTCCAACCTTCAAATTCTATGAATTGTAGACTATTAACAATCATATGCTTCAAATCATTAATAATAAGAAGCACAGAGATTTCACCTTCACATCCAACAACTTAACAAAGTAAGCCAACTAGCACTTACTGTTTAAAGATAGGTATGGTCAATGTTGGAAGAGGGGCTGTGCTAAGACAGGCACACTAATACACCGATGGTAGAGCTGTGAACTGGTCCAATTATCATGGAAAGTTATTTGGAATTATGCTAAGAAAATGAACAAAATGTCTAAGTGCTTCGACCCAGAGACCTCACTACTAGGGATATACCCTACCTAGGTCAAAGACAGAAAGGTCTCATACACCAAAATAACCATAGTAGCAATATTTTTTTGTGGTAGCAAAGAACTGAAAACAAAGTAATACCACAGATTTAAAACTCATTTTACAGACGGACTGAGGCTCGGGAGACCTAAGTAACTTGCCTAGGGTCACACAGTTAGGAAGTGTCAGAGGAGGGATGTAAATCCAGTTCTTCCTGACTTCATTTCCTACCCAGCTCATTTCCTGGACTTCATCACTGTCTCCAGCAACTCATTTTCCAGCAAGACTGAATTAATTCTGAAACTCACACCTCCTCTGTACCCTGTGGCCCTAGGAACCTCTCCCTCCCCCTAACTGGAAAGAGTGGAAGGTAGACATGAGAGCTCCTTCCAGATCCTCCATTTAATGAGGGGGCCCAGTACAGTCACCTCATTTCCTACTGGATTACAGGTCTTTATCATGACCCTCTGCAGGGTGCCCTCTCCACGCCTTTCTTTTTGTGATGTCTTCTTCCATTACATTGTAAGCTAATTGAGGTCAGGGACTTTCTTTTTTCCTTTCATTGTATCCACAGCACTTAGCACAGTGCCTGGCATATAGTAGGCTATTAACTGACTGACTTCAACTCCAAAGCTCTATCCCCTACACTGTGCTGCCTCTCTATCATCCAAGTAGATGATGATGATCATAGCCAATGATAACCAGCATTTATGTACTGCTTTAAGGTTTGCAAAGCACTTTACAAACTATCTCATTTTTATCCTCACAACACTCTGGGATGTAGGTCCTACTATTACCCCCTTTTTCCACATAAGGAAACTCTGACAAACGGAGGCTAAGTGTGTTGCCCAGGGTCACACAGCTAGTAAGTATCTGAGGCTGGATTTGGACTCAGGACTTTTTTTCCCCCCCAAGGCAATTGGGGTTAAGTGACTTGGCCAGGGTCACACAGCTAGTAAGTGTCAAGTGTTTGGTCTGAGGCCAGATTTGAACTCTATCCATTGTACCACCTAACTGGCCCTAGGACTCAGGACTTCTTGACTCCCAAGTCCAACCCCTCTACCCACTGCACCTTCTAGTTGCTGATCCAGAGATTGGGAATAGCTAAACAAACTGTGGTACATGAATGTAATTGTGCCATAAGAAACAATGAGTACAAAGAATTCAGAGAAGGCTGAAAAAACTTATTTGAACTGATACAGGATGAAGTAAGCAGACCCAGGGAAAATATGTATGCATAATGACTACAACAATGTAAATAAAATGAATATTGTGTAATAATGATGAAGCTTGGTTCTGTAGGAGAGGGGTGAAAATAAACCTCCCTTGCATCTCTTTACAAGTTAAGTAACTGGAGGTGTGGCACACTGTCTATACTGTCAGGCAGATGATGTATATGCCAATACCATATTGTCTAGTGGTACTGCCCAGTACCCAGGTATTGGTGACAGGAAGCAGAGGGGGATTACAACTCGAATGCCCAGCACAATGAAAATCAAGGTCATTGAACCACCTAAGGACAAGTCATCTCTCTGGATTAGAAATTCCAGTCTGGCCTCCCTTGTCCCTTTTCCAGTACACGTGGTTAAGCAAGCAGGTGTATGATCCATCATCCACTGTCCGCTGCAAATGCTTCTAGCATTCTAGTAAGGTAATGAAGTGGATAAAACACTGAACCTGGAGTCAGGAAGACCTGAGTTCAAATCCAACCTCAGACACTTGTCTAGCTGTGTGACCCTGGGCAAGTCACTTAACTTGTCTACCTCAGCTTCCTCATCTGTAAAATGGGGATAATACCAGTACCAATTTCCCAGGGTGGTTGTGAGGATAAAATTAATAAAAGTGTTATTATTATTATTGTTCTAAATTGATTGGTTTTTTTAATTTTTATTTTTGTCGAAGGTTGTGATATAATAAATGCTCAAAAAAGAGATAGGATTGGCATGGCTTTATTTAGTTTTGGAAGATACTTGACTCGGAATTTAAAAGTAGAATAGTGAAAGTGAGTGAACAGTCTAAGAGGCAAACATCCTCAAAGTTTTACAATGTAATGCATTGTTACAGAGAGTTACTTGCCTCAGTGAAGGCTGCTCTGCTCTACCAAAAGAGCTAATTACATAAATCTAGACAAGGGAGGGGGAGGTAGGAAGGAAATAATATTGCTTACCCGTATATTATGTAATTTTTTTTTTTTTTGGTGAGGCAATTGGGGTAAAGTGACTTGCCTAGGGTCACACAACTAGTGTCAAGTCTCTGAGGCTGGATTTGAACTCAGGTCCTCCTGACTCCAGGGCCAGTGCTCTATCCACTGTGTCACCTAGCCACCCCTATGTTATGTAATCTTAAAAAAAAGTTTTGTATCTGCCACCTTAATATTTGTTCCATTAAAAAAAAAAACCTCAGAGCCATAATGGTGCCCCTCCCTTCCCACACAGCCACCCCGCAACATAGATATGAATGAAGGCTTTTTCCACTCTTCCTGAGAAGTAGTTCAAAAGAAGTGTGAGATGCACAGATTTAGAGAATCCACCCCCAATGGACTACATGGACTCCTTTTGCTGGACCTGTGGTAGAGCATTCCAAGCTAGTATTTGTCTGATCAGTCACAGTCAGACACACTGTAACTTGACTCTAACATAATAATGTCATTTTGGTCCTCTTCAAGAAAGAGGGACAACAACCAACTAATCAACCAAGAGTTCAATGAGATTAGTGCCAATTCTTGAAAGAGGGGAGAAACTTTACTTGTACTTGAACTAAGACTAGTTCAAATAAAAGTGCACATGTTAAAGAAGAAAATAATAATCAAAGGAAAAAAACTAGGCAATATCAATATATATGTATATGGATTGAAAGTATTTTTTCACTATGCTGGCTTTTTGCCTGTAAAATGTAAGCATTATTATACATTTCTAACCTATTTTAATTCTATCTAACCAGATCCAAGGAAGAAAGCGAGCATTAATCAATCAAGTATTTATAGATTGTCTAGTATAAGAATGCTACTTTACATATTTTCAGGGACTCAAAAGTAACACAACATATCAACCCTGCCCAGAAGGAGTTTACAATCCAATGAAGGCGAAATTGACTCATGTTAAACAACAGTGACCAAATACAAGATAAAAGAAAATTAAGCATTAAATTATGTTAGACTTAAATCACAAAGTCAAAGCAACTCCTGAATACAAACACTGACTGAAATGTGGCCCAATCTGAAAAATTACCTTTTGACATGTAAAAAAGATCTTCATCAAAATATTCAGTTGTATTTATGAATAACAAATGTCAGAATACATCTCAGAGGTGCTTTTTAATTTTCAAACCTCAAGATTAAGTTCTTTCTTTTTTGATGTTACAAAATATGAAGGGCTAGACTGAAATTCTAGACCAGTTTGGGCAATGCTGGGGCGAGGAACGGGTAAGCAGCATAAAAAGAAAAGTAAATTGTACCTGTAATTTTTGCTTTTTTTCCACTGTTGGGAAGAGTTCCATCCAGAGACTGAGCAGAGTGAAAAGGTTGACTTTAGAAAGCCTTGGCATTTGGCCTACAATAATAGAAAACATACTTTAAAATATTACCAATACTCATGAAAACAAGCATTCTTTGGCTTGTCAAAACCTTAGTGCTGTTCTGCTCTCTTACTTTTCAGAGAAGATGGAACCAGGAAGAGGTTAGAAAGGGAAAATGATCTTTCAGGATCACTAATTGCTACTAAGGTGGGTTGGCTCTAAGGTGGTGCAGTAGGCAGAGAACTGGACCTGGAGAGCCAGGATGACCAGAGCTCAAATCTGACCCCTGCCTCTGAGGATAAAATGAGATCGTAAAAAGTAAAGTGCTTTGCAGACCTTTCGATGCTAGCTAGCTGTTAGTACCAGGAAGAGACAGCGGTACATCCCAAAGTTACCCCTAGGAATCCTGCAGGGTTTGCAGCCGGAGCCCGCGTGGAGAAGAGTCCCGGCCCGGCTGCAGCAGCCTAATTAAAAGCGACCAGGGACACAGCACGAAGACAGGGCCGGGGGTTCGGGTGAAGTGGGGGTCAGAAGGTCAATGCACAACTCCGGTCAGAGTGGGCGGGGCCAAGGTCTGGGGCTTCCCCCGCCTCCTTTCAGCCCCGTCCAGGCAGGGGGGCGGAAGGTCTGGGCGCGAGCTACAGGAGGAAGCGGGGGAGAGCCCCGCAAGACAGTGGGGCCCAGGACTTCGGGACAGCGCCGAGGAGAGCTCCTGGAGAAAGCCGGAAGGGCAAGGCGGAGCTCCGGGGCTCGAGGTCAGGGTCACGGTCAAGGTGCCCGGGCACTCACCGGTCACACTGCCAGTCTGCGTGCTCACTGACCGCCCGGCCCCCGCGCCCTCCAGATTTTGCATCTGTTCCGCTTCTTTCAGCCTGACCCCGGAGGTCTCTGCTGCCCGCGGGACTCCCCTGCGTCAGGCATGATCCTGGCCCCCCCTACACGGTACCCCTTCCGCCTTCTCTGGGCAACGGTAAAGCAACGGCCGCCACGGCGCGCAGAGCCGACGTCACGCCTCCCGCCACGCTCCCTCGCTACCTGGCGCATTTCTGTGTCGTAGGGTGCCAGCGCACGGGGGCGGGGTGAAGAGGGAGGAGGGAGCGAGGAAGAGCGAGAGAAAGGGGAGGGGCTACAGGAGGGGGAGAAGGGAAGGGGCGGGCCTTGGCCAACAGCGTCCCGTCAGGATCAGAGATGAGAAGAATTATGGTGCATCTATGTAGATAACGTATCTACATGAATAACCCCCTTATGTTGTGCTTGAGGAATCAGGCCCGGGGTCACACGGGTGTTATATAGAGGGGACCTTCTTTGAAGGCAGGCTGAGGGCTGGGGGTAGTGTTAAATGATGACATTTTTGAGATTTACAAAGTGCTTTTCTCACAAACAGGGTGGGATGGTGGGAATGGTGGAGTCAGCCCTGGAGCGGGCCCTGAAGGATGTAGGATTTGAGCCTGTCCCGGGGGATGGGATTCAGGTTTGGGGGAAAGCGTGGGAAATGGCATTCGAGGCAGGGAGAATGCTGTTATCAAAAGACTGGTATGGAGGAATGAGCAAAGTGCTGTAAACAGTAGATGAGTATGGATTTTAAGGGCCATTTATTTGGGTTTCTTTTTTAGGGCACTGAACCCTTAAATCTTCAGAAACCCAAAGTCCAAGCAAACATACCAGTTTCTAAAAAGTGACTGACAGTGAAGACATCAGTGCACATGAATAATGCCTGTATTTTTCACTCCTGACATGCATAAGATTATGTTAAGCTCAAGGTTTAAATCATGACTGACGTTCCGGACCTGGACAAGTCAGAAGAGGGATAGAGAAGTTCTAAGTAAAATTGTCTTTCCCTTCATTACATGAAAATTATTTTATATCCTGTAGGCTGTGGTGTAAGTATATTCCCCAGTATCACACAGTTCTTAACTTATCTGTCTTCCTTGCTGCCTCCTCATTTGTGTCCCCAAGATTCTGCCCTTGGCTCTCTTCTTTTTTTTAGCATTCTCTTCCTTGGTAAGTATCCACTCTTAAGTCTTCCTCTGCGCATCTATACAGGTGACTCCTGAATCCAAGCATGGGAAACCTGTGGCCTTGAAGCAATATGTGGCCTTCTAAGTCCTTGGGTGCGGCCTTTTGATTGAGTCCAAGTTTTAGAGAACAAATCTTTTTATTAAAGAGATTTGTTCTGTGAAATTTAGATTCAGTCAAAGGGCCCTACTTGAGGACCTAGAAGGCCACATGTGGCCTTGAGGCTGCAGGTTCCCCACCCCTGCCTGAATCTATACTTCTAGCCCTGACCTCTCTTTTGAGCTCCAGATCCATATGTTTACCTGGCTATCGAGCATTTCCACCTGGATGTTCCACTGTAACCTCAAATTCAACTAGTCCAAGGTTGAAGTCGATATCTCTCTACATGTACTCCTTCTGACTTTACTCTTTCTGTCAGTGGCTTCACAAACCAATTAACCAAACCGACCAATTTCCTATGTTCAGATTTTTAACTCTTCTCACTTCTTCATCTCTTGTACCAAATCAGTTAACTAGTCCTATCAATTTTACTTTCTCAAGATCTTTAAAAAATTCTCTGTCCTCCTTTCTGCTCCCATTATCACTGTTCTTACATAAGTCTACCTTACTACCTACCCGGACTATTGCAGTAGCCTTCTCTAACAAGTATTCCTTCTTCTAATTCATTTTTCCAATCCATCCTTCTTACTACTTCCAAGCTAATTTTTTTTTTTTTTGGTGAGGTGTTCAGGATTAAGTGACTTGCCTAGGGTCACATAGCTAGTAAGAGTCAGGTGTCTGAGGCTACATTTGAACTCAGGTCCTCCTAACTCCAGGGCCAGTACTCTATCTGTTGTACCACTTAGCTGCTCCTCTGCCAAGCTAATCTTATACAGGATCTGGTCATTTTGTGTTTCTGCTAAAAAAAAATCTTCAATGGCTCCTCATTTTTCAGTAAAGAAGCCCTTCATAATGTAGTGCCAGTCTACCTTTTACAACCATATTTTATGTTGTTTTTGTCCACATGCCCCTCCACATATCCTCTAGTGACAATAATTCTTTGTTCCCAAAATCTGCCCTGAAATCTCTGTTTAGGATAGCCTTCCCCTCATTGTTTCTCATACCTGGAATGTCTTTCCTTTTTTTTTACTCATGGAATTTCTATCCATCCATGAAGGCCCAACTCAAATAACACATCTTCTCTAATCTCCCACTTGTCATTAATGACCTTCTTCCTCAACTGAGCATAGCAATTTATTTTGTACCCTTGAAAGATATTTATGAATTGTGTATTATGTTTTCCTATTAATTTTGACATATAGATAGATCATAAGATCATAGTTATAGATTTGGTAGGCAGTAAGGTGGTGGCGCAGTATATAGAGCACTGGGCTTGGAATCAGGAAAACTCATCTTCATGAGTTCAAATCTGTCCTCAGACACTTACTAGATGTCCTGGGCAAGTCACTTAACCCTGTTTGCCTCAGTTTCTTCATCTGTAAAAGTGAGCTGGAGGAAATGGCAAACCACTCTATTGTCTTTGCCAAGAGCTTCAATTGGGGTCATCAAGATTTGGACACAAGTGAAATGATTTAACAGACAGATTTGAAAAGAATGTCAAAGGAGACCATCTAGTCCAACCCCTTCATTTTACAGATGAAGAAATGGGTTCAGTGAGAAGATTAAGATTGATCCTGTATAATTTTCTTACTGATCCTATTTACAATTAATTGCTTTTGTCCCGTAGCTACTTAAGTCATAGTTCTCTGTTTCTGAACTTGATTCAGAAGTCAGCAGGTCTATAATAGGTTAAGTTTAGAAATCCAACTCTCCTGCAAATCACCAATCTATTCTTGCCTCAAGGAATTTAGCTGACCTTGGAGGATGCATGTGAACACAAGAAAGTCAGGACCAGTATCTTTACACCACCAAGCCATCCTTCAAGGATGTCTGGTTTATTGTCTGAAAAGAGTTGGTCTGTTATCTTTTGACTTTGCACCTAGACTCAAACAATGAGCACTTTTTAGGCATGAGGGGGTTGGTGTTAGTCCCCATTACCAAACTTTCACCCAATAATGTTGTTCCCCGTGCCTCAGCTTTGTAACCAGTCGTGTTGTCCTTGATCTCATGATGTCTTCTACCCTGTTCTGTTCTTTGTTCTATATTCCCCAAAACCTATAAAAGAGCAACCGTTCTTTTACTTGGGGTCTTTGACATAAATGGAGGCAAATAAATGGAGGATCAATGGTGATCCCTTTATTGTCAGGCAGCATGCCCTTGTTAATAAATGTTATCTTGCTTGAAGAATTGCCTCAGTTTACCCTTTTGCTAAATATTGCCCTTGACATCAGAAAGGATGAGTAATTTGCCTACAAGTCATACAAGGGTCAAATGTCATGGCTCAAGGTTCTTTTACTCCAAATCTAGTAGTTTTCCCACTGTACAACTCTGCTTCTACAGAGCAAAAATAAAGAACCAAAATGAGTAAAAGATGTAGGTGTACAATTGAAACAGACCTGTTTAAACAAGTCATAGGTGCCATTTTACTTTGTATTTACTTATCTGTGCATATTTGTGTTGTTTCTACCAAGGATGATGATGATAAAATAATTGCAATAAGGTTTGCAAAGCACTTTACAAATATCTAATTTTATCCTCACAATGTGTGGGGATGTGGTATATTTAATTATTATCCCTATTTTACAAATGAGGAAACTGAAGTAAGTAGAAGTTAAGTGACTTACCCGGGGTCACATAATTACTAAGTTCCCAGGCCACATGACTCTGGTTCCAGTGCACTATCCACTGAGTCACCTAGTTGCCAATGGATCGTGAGCTACTCAAGGGGAGGGACTGTTTCATTTTTGCTTTACCTCAAGCACCGAGAATGGTGTCTGACCCATAGCTGGTGTTTAATAAGTGCCTGATGCATGTTGTTGAATGAGGAAAAGAAATATAGGTTGATTATAATTTCTCACAGAAGTCTAACCAGTATAAAATAATTGCCATAACTAGGAGTCCAAAAGAAATTGAAAACTCTCTTAGAAAACACTTGATTTTCTTTTCAAGCAGAAAAACATGGTAGCCAAGGGCAATATAAACTTAGACTATATGCTGAATATAAACTCAGAAGGATAATAGAAAATTCCAAGTAGTAATGTATCATGAAACAGTGTGAAGCAGTTGAAAGTAAAACCAGTTTAAAGAAAGCTTGGCAAAAGACAATTAAGCAGTCATCTTGATGACTTTTAAGAATGAAACTGGAAGGAGGACCTCAGGCAAACAAAAGGTGGAAAAAAATGTCCACATAGAAAAAAAAGTGGATGATAACACTTGCTGTCTGGATTGTGATATGTAGTAGGTTTATCAGCAAAAGAGAAAAGAAGAAAATCGATGTATTGGGCATGCACAAAAAAATTTGAACAACAAATTTTAAAATCCCAACTAAATAACACAGTAAGAATTCTGAAAATTAAAGATGGGATTAATAAAACTGTAAGCAAAAAGACCATTTAACTAATAAATAAAACTAGGAGCTGAATTTTTAAAAATGTAAAATAGATAAACTGCTGACCTGATTTTTTTTAAAGAGACAAAATTGTATTGAAAATGGAAAAAAAGAATTTTAATATTTGAAAAAAAAATAAAGGAAATTGTTAGAAACTATTTTGTCCAAACAACATTATAACTTAAAATAAAGAGATAAATACTTAGGAAATTTGTAAAATACCCTCATTAGCAAAAGAAAAAATAGATTATTTAAATAACCCAAATATCAGAAAAAGAAATTGAATAAGCCGTAAGTGAACTCTCAATTAAGAAACAAACAAATTCCAGGATAAGATGGATCCACAAGTGAATTCTATCAAACATTCAAAGAACAATTAATTCCAATACAATATAAATTGTTTGCACAATAAGAAAAGAAGACACCTTCCTAATCTCTTTATAGGATACAAATGTGGTCTTGATACTTAAACCCAGGAGAAACAAGCAAAGAAAGAAAACAAGACCGATATCCTTAATGAACATTGATGTAGAAATTTTAAATAAAATATTATCAAGGATGCTACAGTGACATGTTAGAAAGGTTATGACCAGGTTGAGTTTTACCAGGAATGCAGGATTGGTTCAACATAAGGAAAACTATAAATATAATAAACCATGTTAACAATGGAAATAATAAAGGTGATATGATTATATCAATAGATGCCAAAAAAAGGCCTTTGACAAAATCCAACACACATTTCTGTTAAAAACTCTATAAATCATATTTATTCAATAGACCTTTTCTTAATGTAATAAATAATATTTATCTAAATCTAAGAGCAAACATTATATATAGTGGAGAGTTAGAGATCTTTTCAGTAAGATCAAGAGTAAAGCAAGGGCACCCATTATCATAACTACTATTTAATTATAATTCTAGAAATATGAGGAAAGAAAAAGAAATTAAGGGAATAAGCATTGGGAAAGAAATAACAGATTTTGTAGATGATGGTAT